ATCCCTTCTAACAGAAATGAAGATCATCTAAAGACATATAAAAATGTGTTTCTTGCTTGCTGTCAAAGAGATATAACTCCTATGTAAGTAAATGTTTTCCTTGAATAGATGTTGCAGATACAAAGCACTTTTAAGAGAGTTTGTAGTCCTTTTTACATTGGCAATGCAACCTTCTGGAAGGAAAGGTCAGATAGTCGGTCAACCCCAAAGTAGTATTTCAGTTATAGATGTGTGGTGGGTCACCTGCTGCTGTCTTGTATCTCTTGGGAAGACCAGCCATGAGATTTCCATTCCAAAGTTTCCAGCTTTAGTCTTATGTCTTAGAGTTTTGGGTGTTCCCACTTGTTACTTCTCCATAATATATATATATAGAGATAGAGATAGAGATATCTAGATAGATAGATATTAAAAAAAAAATCCAACAAGGCAAGTGCAGTAGCATAATTAATTCTGAGATCTAACTATTTGAGGGACTTAAAATGTTAGGCGATTGATTTGCCTTTTATAGAAAGACTGACCCTAATATTAATACATTTCCCATAATATGTGAACAGGTAAATGCACCGAATTGATAACATTGGACCCTTTCAATTGTCGACTGAAAACTCTTTAAAGCTGAATTTGAATTTAATCAAAGTCTGCAGTTGAATATAATCCACAATACATGCAGTAAACTGGCGTGCTTTCTGTCCTGCCATTCCAGAATAATGAAAACGCACTTTTATGACAAAGGATTGATGTCACATTATGCTGTGAAATTTTGCAGTGCATTGAAAAGGGTTACTGGTTTCAGATTAGTCATTTTAAAGCCCGATTGTAGCTTTGTAATACTATATATGTGATGACACAAATTGGGGTTGAATAAAAAGAGATATATATATATATTTTCTTAATAGCAGTCCAGCATCACCTCATTAGCCCCTTGAGCAGGGAGTGCGAGTGTTGCTGACATGAGTTCAGTAGTTGGGAATGTGCAGGAGGCGAGGGAGACCTCACTCGCATAGCAGCTGCCTTTATGTTCTGGTCGCTGCTGGCGAAGGGAAATTTTGGGGTGGCGTTGGAGCACAATTGCAGAAAAAAGTAAGACCTATAAAAACATGTATCTTTTTGGTAACCTACATTTGTGTTAAGTGGCTTTAACTATTTTATTGAAAAAGAATTGAAGGGAAATAACAGCGTAGATCTTGACGGTAACAGCGAGATCTTTCTTGATCCTTTTTTTTTTAGATGTATCGAAAAGTTTGAACTCGAACATGTGTCTTTTTTCAACCTGACTAACTATGTAACTAAAACAAAATAACTCCTTGTTCTTGACATTTTTTGGTATATTTATAGCGGAAGAGATTGATATCATGAAGAGTGAACTGGAGAAGTATGGCATTCAAATGCCAGCATTTGGCAAAATTGGGGGGATCTTGGCCAGTGAGCTGTCAGTGGATGAAGCTGCATGTGAGTAAAGGCCGTTGTGTTTTGGGTTTTTTGTTTATATCTCTACATTTTTTTACTTATCTTCTTTCTTGTGCATTTGTGAAAGTGAAAAAAACCCCAAGATTTTTGGTTTCGGTTTTGGTCTAAAAATTTCTTAAGCTTACAGTAGGTAAACCCTGACACCATGGTAAAAATACAACATAAACAAATTATGGCAGCTAGTCCGTGGGCAACATTTTAGACAGGATACTAAAGTAGAAATAGGCCACTCATTGATATTTTATATTCTTGCACCGGAAATAGTAACAGATATTGGGTATTAGAGATGCACCGAAATTAACATTTCAAAACAGAAACGAAACCGAAATTAAAAAAAATGTCAGGCCGAAACCAAAAATGTTTTTTATTTTAACTTTTTCAAATGTTTTAAATATTTTATTTTTAAAAAAACTTTCTATTTTATTTTTATCTATTCATTTTGTATTAAATATTTTTATTTTTTACTTTAACTTTAGGGACCCTGATATTTTCCCTGATATTTTGCTTTTAAAATAGAAAAAGAGATTAAGGACAGAGTTCTCAATCTCTTTTTCAGCAGCCCCTGTTATTAATGAACAGGAATCCTCTATACTGAGTGTTCCTATTCATTCATAACATGAGGACAGAGTATGTTTACTATAACCACAATCATGAATGAACAGGATGTGGTGTATATCACTTCCCATTCATTCATAATTGAGGATATAGCGAACATACTCTGTCCTCAATTATTTACAAACACTCAGCGACCACTGATCACACTAAGTGTTTCTACCCACTCTCCTTCCTGACAGCTGTCACAGGAGGCTGAGCGAGCGGTGGTCAGCCTGCTGTGACAGCGCTGGCTGTCTCCGCCCACTCACCGCACTGCCGATCTATGACAGGAGGCTAAGCGGTGCGGGGAGGAGAGATGTCGGCCACTCACAGCAGTCTCCTTCCGCAGCGCTCGGCCGCCTGTGACAGTTTCTCTCCTTCCGGCTGGGACACAGAGCAGCGCCCAGTGGGGAGGAGAGAAAGCAGGGATGCGCTGCTGTATCAGCCAGGAAATGGCACTTTCAGCATTATGCCAAAAGTGCCATTTTCGGCCGATATATCGGTGCATCCCTATTGTTTATAGATGATAACCACGTTGTACAACTGTGTACAGATACACCTTCAACTCACACTATACTTAGCTGATTTGCTCCCATTAACTTACTGTTTCCTTGCGTGGAGTGCATTAATGCAGATCACATCCGCTGGTCTGGTAATCATACAGCATCATGTAAGCTTTTGACAGCTGCAATAACATTTAATAACTGCTGTGCTTGAGAGGTTCTCAGAAGCTCTAATGTTTGCCTCAATTTCTTTTCACGGGATTCTGTTTACAGACCACTTGCTTTCATCATCTAGTAAGAAACTATTCCTGGAGCTAATCATCAGTGTTAAATATACAAATGACTCTCCAGGCACATTAGGAAGTTTGTCAATTGTCCCTATTATATGCATCCAGAAGTCTAACAGCGATTACTTGCCTACATAATGCCAGAAACTTTCCAGCACAATGGGTTTTCTGGAAGCTTCTGTTGTGCTGAAAAATACACCCAAACGATTGTTTGGAAGACTCAAACAATGGCTTAGTAATTTCAACCCTGGAGTCATCACAAACTCTTTTTTTTCTCTGTGGCTTTTCTTTTTACACTGATGAGTCCAATTCATAATGTCAAAATGTGTCTGAAATGAAAAGGCCTGCAAAGAGTTTGTTATAAATACTAAGTAGTACTAAAGCTTGAAATACTGTATAATCAAACCTATTTCCTCTATTACTCATTGTAGCCTCTCTTCTAGTCAGGAGACTATGTACCAATATCAACAGTATGAACTGTAACAGATGCACTTTGTGTGAGAAGTTGGATGGCCAGGTTGGAAATGTTTTTCCACTTTCCTGTTGGCCCTCTATTGAGAAGGAATATGCAAAAATGTGTTGTGGGCAAATTAATAATAATAATTGAATGCTTATGTGGCAAGCTTACACTGGCAGGAGATGTGCTCAATTTACTGGCTCTGGCAGTGACATTCAGTAAGCAGACCCCAAGAGTCTGAAAGTGCTATACCAAGAAACATACAACTACCCGACCAACTGATAGGACTGGTTCTTTGTGTAATTCTTTGTACACAGATATTTAAAGCAGTAAAGTAAACCTTATCAAAAGAGAAATATAGGGGCTTCTATTGCAAACTTCCTTCCAAAAATACTGGTTGCCTGGCTGCCATTCTGAGAGAATGACTGTTACTTTCTGTGCAGATCAGGAAAGTCAGAGAAATGTAGAAAATCTTATCTGTATGCTTGTTCCGGGTCAGTGTAGAAGCATGAGGATCAGCATGACAGCAAAGCAGCTAGTATTTTTTAGAAGGAGAGGTCAATGATTGTAGATTTTTATTCTCCTATGGCAGATTTCTTTTGCCACCGACGTAAGGCTTACGGCGGAACAAAACTGTTCCCAAACCGCCAGGTCAGTAAGCCTTACGTCTTTGGCATTTACCATTCTGATATAAGCTCATGGTCGGTTTAGGTACCATGAACTTATATCAGAACTGTTCCCTGGACAGTCCTCGTTAAATTAATAGCTGTTGGCTATTAACACAAATTCCGGGTGGACCCACCCCCGCCTGCACCGCGGCCGCCAGCATCTTCAGCCTCTCCTCCCTGCCTGGAGCCGCTGCAGGCAGGGATCTGTGTCTCCTTGGATCCCCGCTGCTCTCCCCTGCTTGTATGGGCTGAGGCAGCAGGGATCAGAATAAAAATGGCCGGCGGGGTGCGGAGGAGCGAGCCGCTCGATCACGATGATCGAGCGGCATGAGAGAGCAACAGGCGGAGAGGACAGAGGAGCCGCTGTCATCCTGTCAGTTTCAGGATGACAGCAGCTGTGTGCATGGCCAAGCGGAGGATCGGTAAATATCAGTGATATTACCAATCCTCTGTGTGAAGGACAAATACTGGAGAGATCAGCTGATCACTCCAATGGTTGTAAATAACTGGGGACACATAGTAATATGTGTCCCCAGTTATGAATGAACAGGATGTGATTTACATCCCTTCCTGTTCATTCATGAGTTTCTGAATGGGTAGTAGCACTCAGTACAGAGGCTTCTCCCCATTCAGAAACTGTTGATGGTAAACATTTTACTATCAACAGTTTCTGAATGAATGGGAAGCCTCTGTACTGAGAGCTTTCCATTCATTTAGATCTCTGTGTCCTCAATTTCTTTTTTCTATTTCAAAAGGGAAATGTCAGGGGTCTGTTTAGACCCCAGATATTTCACAATTTAAAAAAACAAAACACATTAATTTAACTGTGGCAGCACATGGCAAAGCTTTGTGACGCATTGCTGTGCGCTGTGATACATTGTGTTGCAATTAAATATACGCCTGTATCATTTTATCACAACACAAACACAGCATACAAACGATTAACATAAGTCGCTTATTTACTGTTTTGCGTTACTTCATATTTTTACCTTTTCGCAAAAAGGCGCAATTTAAAACTTGAAAATATTTGTTATTTATTAACTTAAAATACAGTTTTATCTTTTAGATTGTCAGAAAATATTTATTTTTTTGTGCACCGATAATGATTTTAGTGCTTTATCAATTGATTTGTGTATTTTTCGGTTTAATATTAATTTGGGAAACATTTGTGCAATTATCGCACGGCCAACAAATTTAGAGAGCACCGTCTTTTTATTCTGCCGGGCCTGTGCTTTTAGAAAATATATGGTTTGGGGGGTCTTTTACAAACGCTAGCAACGCAGCAGTTGAAAATCGAATCAATGGGAAAAATTGCAAAATGGCGTGGCCAGCTGAGGTGCAAAATGTTCCGGAGGGCGTGGCAGCGAAAGGGTTAAACGTATATATATTAAATCTGTGTCATTTGTGCACACAATATAGATCATTATTATAATTATTATTATGAATATAATTATGTGTACATAATTACTCCTTCGCTAGCCAGATCATGTCTCTATCCAGTGTTAGGCCACATCTTTAAGGATTATTATTAAGTGCCTTCAAGTTGATGACGACTGCCAACCAGATGGTTAGTGTTTCTCTAGTATGATCTGCCTCCCCCTGCAAAAATTGACTTCTGATATTAGGTCCAAAAAAGTTTTGATATATTTGTGTTATTTGCATCTCTTGCACATGGTGCTTATGTGAGTGTGATGTCATGGTCCTTCTGACTAGAGCTTTGGAAATGCAGAGCACTTATGAGAAGATTCTGTTGTAATGGACTTGAGTGTCTTTTCGTAAGATTTGAGCTGCTCTGCATCCTTCAGGAATCTTCATGTAACTAAGGTGACATCACACCCAACAATGCAGAAGATGGGAGTATGGCAAGTATAACTATAACTTTATTCTTTACAGGTAAGTTTTGGACCTACTGTTAACCGGTGATTTATGCAAGGGGAGGGGGCCCAGACAGTATATTGGGACCTTGCTTTGCACTACAAGGTCCACTTTAAGTCTTCAAAACGGCTTATTTATCATTTCTGACTGTATCCATCCATCTTATTGCTGATCGTCCTCTTCTCCTTTTATGCGCAACTTCTTCAAGCATAAAGATACTTTTGAATTTTTAATTGGTATCAGATCCACCTTAACTTGTTACCCACCATGAGCATAGCAGCAATATAAAAGCCCCCTGCTAACCTTTAGTCAATAGTATTGTAGATGTTTTGTAATAATGTAAAAATGTTTAACATCTGCTGGGCTTTATGGTTCATATGTAATACACCAGGTGTTTACATGGACAGTAATGCAACCTGGTGGCTAGAAGCAATTTAAGATTATTTTGCGAGCAACATATGACTTCTGGGAGGGAATCTGTTTTAACTTTCACTTTTTTTGTGTTCTTTGACAGATAGAGCAATTCTTATCTATGGACAGGTTCATAGATGGTGAATATTTTACTTGTTAATTTCATTAAACACAGTTGTCATTGTTCTGGTGTTTTGCAGTGCATGCCGCTGTAATTGCCATCAACGAAGCAATTGATCGAGAAGTTCCTGCGGAAACCTTCACCGCACTCAAGAATCCCAATGCCATGCTAGTGAACCTTAATGAGCCTCTGGCTAATGTGTATCAGGATGCACTCTATCAAGCAAAGCAGCATAAAATGGGCAATGCTAAGAAGCGGGTGAGTGACATATCTAACATCGTTTTATTCTAAATCTGGATGTGCAGGTGGATTCTTTCTTTGGTTGGAATAAGGCGGCTTTTAAGCTGGACCTACTAAGATCACTTGTGTAGAAAATGATATTTTTTTTAGGGACATTAAAAGTGGGCCAACTGTGCTGCGGCTAGTCTGTTCATTGATCATACATAGAGAATTATAATAGATAACTTTGTGTAATCCTAATATAGTAATTAACTAATAGTTCAGAAAAATTACAAAATTCCCCAAAGTGGGGATCCCACCATTCCTTCAAAAAGATGTAACGTATGATTATAAAAACATATATATGTTTATTTATTGGAATACTAAAAATATATTCAAACTTTTGTATCAAAACAGACCATATAAACACATCTATATATATGGCTGCGTTCCGCTATTAACTCTAAGACAGTATATTATGGAAAAACTGTTTTGTTTTGTACTTTTTCTGAACAATTGAATAGTAGGGGACCCTCCTTCACATAATTGTTAAACAAATTCGTTATTGAACCTTCCTTTCCCCCTTTTTATATGTCTAATTAACTAATAGCCAGACCTGTAGTATTTAAAGGTAAATATATTTTGTGAGTTACATTGCTTTTGTGTGATATAAATGCCACACAGCATAATGAAAAGGTCAAGCCACCCAAAAAATGATATTGGTTATACATGGACCCTTGTGGGCAAACTGCCAGCAGACCAAGCAAAATCTTCCTACTGGTTTTCTGTCTATATGAAAGTTTTTTAGTTTTTCCTTCCAGCTTTGCATATTCAAGCTCAAGACATTGGTTCTGCAATGCTCATGTGCTTACATGGAACATGCTAGTAGGAGGAGCGTATCAGTCTGCTGCTTCTCATTAAAGATAAAACAGAAGTCATCAACTTGCGCAATCTAGATCGATTGTTTATGGACTATATGTTGATAGTATCAAAGGAACTCCAGTTATACTGGTAATTAATCCAAAGAAGATGTGTGCACTTATCCTGCAGCCTGGTTGGTTGGATAGGGAAACAGCCATGTAACAGCACTGTAAAGAAAACATAGAAAACCGGCGCACAGATCTAAGTGCAGTATAAAAGTGACTGTTTAATAAGGTTAAAAGTAATGCACTTACTGGATATTAAAATCTCGCCTGTCACGCATCAGATGAAAGTCCCATCTCAGCTGCTGGTCCAAGATTGCTATCAGGATATGGAGAGAGCAGATTCCAGTTCAGTCCAGAAATATTCCAGAACGCCTGGGCTGGAAGATACAGGTCTGATCCCGTGGCTGAGCACTGCTGTGGCTGGTTCTCCTAAAAGCAGGGTCACAGCTGCTGAGTATTTCCGGGTCGTCAGGTGTTGCTAGGCAACGCGTTTCAGAAGTTCACCTCCTTTGTCAAGCCTTGACAAAGGAGGTGAACCTCTGAAACGCGTTGCCTAGTGACACCTGACGACCCGGAAGTACTCGGCAATCTTGGACGAGCAGCCGAGATCGGACTTTCATCTGATGCGTGACAGGCGAGATGTTTTTTAATATCCTGTAAGTGCATTACTTTTAACCTTATTAAACAGTCACTTTTATACTGCACTTAGATCTGTGCGTCGGTTTTCTATGTTTGCTTCTCACTAAAGGGTTATTAAACCCTCCGTTGTTTTGCATATATCTACTGCTAGCAAACTGCTGCAAAAAGTGTAAAAATAAATAAACGCTTTAAAAGCGGTTTAAACTTACCTGTGTCTTCCCCGCGTGCTTTTGTCCGAAAATTTGAAAATTCTCGGGCGGCCGCAAAGCATCTTGGGTGGGCTCATGCGCAGTTCACATTTTTGGCCGGGAGACTAAGAGAGACACACAGTAAGTATATGGACGCGTGCACCCGCATGCAGAATCCGTGGGATAGGAAGTGCCAGCAAGGACAGAGGAGTCGGCGGTGGATCAGAGACCCGCAGCAGCGGTGGAGGGACAGATGAAAACATCAGGAAAGAAGAAGATCGGATTAAGAGACATAATTTAAGGTAAGTGCTTTAATTAACATTAGGGGGAGGGAAAACAAATCTTTGACTTTAATGTCCCTTTAACCATAGTGGAGAAAAATCGGGTCTCTAGGTTGTCTGTGCTGTCAGGCAGGGCTTTGTAAATCTCAGGAGTGAATGAACAAATACAAATCCGTTGAGAGATGCAACTTTCATGTATTTTATCTGTGTATTTAGCTGTTTGCCTGGAGTTCAGCCTTAAAGGGAACTTGTCATGAAAAATGAAAACACGTAGGCTGCTATTAATAACCTCTCTTCTTACAATGTCTGGCTGTCATGTTGATGATCTTTTTCCAAGACTTTGAGTCATTCACTCAGCACAGTTATGCACTTTTCTCAGACTTTCTGATCCTCACACTAGCTCAGGTCAGTGATTTGGAAAGTATTGAAGCCAGAGGGTCAGCATAAGAGACAAGCAAATACTGTTTTCAAAAAGAAGCCAGCAATAGTAGCCCCTGTATTTCTCATGACAAATTGAGTATCGGGGGACAGAGGTCACCTGTGTGATCTCTGCAATCTCAGGAGAGCATACCAAGCTAAGAATGAGAGCATATATTTCCAGTCATATCATTGTGGCAATAATTATATTTTATTATATTGATAATACTGCTGGGCTATCTGCAGCTATACCTTTACGCCGATGGAATAGTAGTATACAGTTATGTATCTGGTTGATTGGCCATGCCTTATTGGGGTACTGTAAGGGGGAATTCATAAAGAGAGTCTATGACACTGTTTAGAAATTATGTGGTGCATCCACATGATGCATGTTTGTGCTTGCCCCAGATTAATTTACCTGTTGGAAATACATGAATTATATTTGTGGTGCAGATCCACTGCACCTGGCACACTGGTGACACGGCTAAGGAATTTTACTAGTTAGGGAACTAGTCCCTCAGGCTCCACTCCCTATCAGGTCCACTCCCCTGGTAATTGACCAGAGACAGTGGTCAGATTCCATGGTCAACAGACAGCCTGCTATTGGCTTTGGAATTCACATACTGCCTTATATCAATTGCTAGCAGAGGGGACCTGATGGGAAACTATTCCCTCAGCATCACCTATCAGGTTCTCTATGTTCCTGCTAAAGAGATTCTTTCTCACTATTTTTTTCTCACTATTTTTCTGGGAGTGGGCATGAAAAAGAATCCAAAATGTTAAATTGTCCATTGAACACTTATAGTGTGGAAATCTTCCAGTGGGGACACGTGTTCTGGTGACAGGGTTTACCTCACTTTTGAGAGATTTCTTCTCACTTCATTTGTGTTTACAACTCGGGAAGTGAAGGGAAATGGAGCAAAACAAAATCTTACAGGAGTTTAAACCATTTCCTGCTCTATACAAAATGTAAAAAAGTTTTGGCTGTAGATATACTTTATTCGCCAGTGTAGTCCTGTGTGAGTTGATCACATCCCTTACAAACATGCTGAGCATAGTTGACCATATAATGGCTCTTGTTAGTTAACCATCACATGTTTTTTATATGACTGAAAGTATTTATTAAGTAAATGAATGTTCTGTAGAGATTCAGCTATATCACCTTTGTTCCTGCCCAATGTAAATGTCTGTACCAATGGATAATAATAGTCCCACAGTAAATATATTTATTCCTCTCTGTCCAGATAACTGCAGAGAGTGCAGGAGATGAGCGGGATGTATATGAGGAACTACTGACCCAAGCAGAAATTCAAGGCAATGTCAACAAAGTAAACTGTAAGTATTCTGCTTTACTACTGAATAGTTTCCAACTGTCCTCTAGCCAGGTCTGTTTGTTTTTTTTGTAGATATTCATGTAAAAAAATCTTATTAAAGTGTGTTAAGGTGGTTAAAACTTTGCTTCTATGTACAGTTTGTAATGTATGTACTATATATTGGGGCTGCCACATCTGCTCATTACATAAGCAGTCTCTGCTTCCTACTGATCCACTTATCTCGTGTTTACTGATTAGGAAAAATAGATTTCAGCAGTCTCTGAGGATGACAAACCCTCACAATGCATAGTAGGCATAAACCATGTCATCCTTTTCTTGGTAGAAAGTGGCATGGAGCTCAGCAGGGATTTGTATTAATGCCAAGAAAGGGTTCATTCACACCTGCTGTGTTGGCTGCTGGTTTTCCACACTAGATCAACGCCAGTCACCGTAAAGGCACACAGAAAACAATTGTTTTTTTATGTGCTCCATTCACACCACAACACTGGTGTGATGTGCGGTGTGAAAAAATGCATACATGAGGTCACCGCAGCATAGCACTGTGCTGCTGTGTGGAGACGACGTGGATGGAGTGTACACTTTGTACACTGCCAATACAGTAAATAAAAAATTAAACCCTTCCCTGTGTTGTAACAGCGCAAGGAACTGCTACACACCACCGCCACCAAGCAAAAACCAGGACTGTTTTAGTGTGCAGCTGGTGTGAACCCAGCCAAAGAGATACCCTTCTCCAGGAAATCTGATGTATTTGTACTGCTGCTTTAGGACTTGTTGATTCATTTGATATGATTTTTTTTAATGATAAGGCCACTTTAAAGGACAAAATAATAAAAAACAGATAAAATGTCTCGGAGCATAGGAGACCCAACCACACCTTTTGCAATTTGTTCTAACATGTCTTATAGACGTTTTTTATATCTGATGTTTTTTGCCTATTTTTGTTTCACATGAAAATATTTTATTTGGGTAACATGATAGGCAGGTATTAATAGTGATCTTCTATTGTAATAGGAATTGATATTGATGTCAAATGATTTACCTTTTTCTATATTCTCTGTTTTGTGTTTTTTAGTGCGAGCAGCCATAGACCGCGTTGACTATGCATTGGAGTCCGGCAGCCCTCCTGTCTTGTTTGATGCACTTAGCAGTCAATCACTTTCAATGAGAGGACTGCAGAGAGACAATGCTGAGTGGTATCTAAAACAGCTGCAGAGCGATAAGCAGCAGAAACTAGAGGTAAGTTACTGTACCAATCTACCAGAGATATAAAGAAAAACGCCAAGAAAATTGATAAAGACCATTTTACTTCTGTTACATATTCCTTGACGTTGGTCGACATGGGCCAGCAGGAAGTTAAAAAAACATGTGAAGGCACAGGCTCAAAGCACATAGATATACAGGAAGCATTACATATGTACCTTATTGCATGTACTTTTATTAAATCTAAACATTCTGTACCTTTTTTAGGGTGCCGCATAACCACACAGTCTTTCCTTTACTGCTTATTCTGCATAGTGGGGTGCATTTCCGTTTAATAAGAGGGCGGGCTCTGATATCACAGCGGGGCAGTGGGTTTGCTCCCTCTTCTCTTCTCTAATTCTTTTCTACTCCACTGCTGTATAGTTTACAGAGTGAGACTCTTGTATGGAGCCGCTGTAAAATAATGTAGGTCTGGGCAGGGGTTTTGTGGTAAATAATCCGCTCACTGGAGGTACAGGCACTATGCATTCCCTATGGAAATAAAGGATGCCGTGTGTGAGCATGGCCTCCTGTATTTCCATAGAGAATGCACAGGCAGACAAACTGACCATGCCAGCACAGATCTGTTTTCATTCTTGGTGAGGTTGGAATGAAGAAAAAAGGAGAAATAGCAGGACCACCAGGTATTTCTGAGAAAGTGTTCTTTAATCTGTTCTAGACTTTAGATGCTCATTTAAAAGCATTTCTCCTGTTATTACAGACAAAATGGCTGCTATAATCACCCTAGCCTATTTGTGTAGTTTACCGACTTTGTACATGAATTTTACACAGACATCTGTTGCCTTGGAAAGGTGCCTCCATCTATAGGTCACAAAGAGCTGTATGTTCTCTGCTGGTCAGTTCCACCTTAACTCTGACAATAGTGGTTTCAGAAAAAAAAGATTTGTCGCTCTTTGCTTTCCTGTTGCTGCTGACGGCCTCTGCGCTGTCCGCACAGCTCAAGGCTGTACTTGTAGCAGATAAATAATCGTGACATAGCGGAGGGGACTATGTGCAGTAGAAAGTCCCGAAAGTGTCCATTCCTGCAGCGGTGAATCAGCAGTTACACCTAGTTATATAGGCCCTATTTTTTTTTAACATAGGGAGGCTTGATAAGTTCATTTTTGGCACTTCCCGCTGGTGTTGTTAGCTTAGAATGGAAGATAAGGTAACAGGGTCTCTTTAAACGCACCCATGTGCTAATCATTGTAGTACTCTGATCTTTTCCATCAAAATCAGAAGATATAATCACAGTTCCTGAGGCTATTGATTATACCTGTCTTTTTTTTAATATAATAATATGATATAAGTATGTCATACAAGTATGGAGGCTATCTATAACTTTGGAAAGGAGTGCACATACCATTTGTAATGGTGGTGGAAAATTAGCCTTGGCGGAATCTGTAGGAGTTTACAGCAGAATATTGTGTGTACAGTGCTTTTTTAGCCATATCCTCAGAGTCTGTGCAAAGGATTGTAAGTCAAAGCCATTATCTCTCATGTGCATCCATGTGCAGAAAAACACTATTAATGTTGTGTGATCGTGGTGCTTTTGTAGACACTGTTTAATACCAAAGTGCTTTGATGACACAGTCTCGGCACGTCATGTTTTGTCAGCCATGTGAAAGATAATGGCTTGCGGTGAGCACTTTGTGTGTGTCTGCAGTTATTTAGTGTGTGCCCACAATACATCTGCTTCAATCCAGACATGCCCATTACTCCCTGGATGTATATAACTGTAGGGTGTGGATCTGCCGGCATGCCCGCAGTCACATGTATGGCTCCTGTATGTGCGCAGAGAATTATAAATAGACACAAACTACAGAAAGCTCTGTGTGCTATGGTCTGGAATTTGGGTGTGTGCATTTAAGGGAGTGAATGAAACTTTTTGTGTGCGACCTGTTAACTCAGTGAACAAAAGTCATTTCCAAAAAAAAAGTTATTTCCACTAGACATTTCACATTCTCCAAAACCAGTATTTAGGTAATTCTTTCCTCGTATGCCACATTTGTATAACTGTATGCGTATATTTTCCTATGCTAATCTTTTTTTTTTTCTCATCTGTTTTTTTAAAATTACTTAAGATTATTTGTACTGTACTTTGTTTACATTAAAGTTCAGCATAAAGTTGTGTGTTTATATAGGTACATATAGACGATAGGTAAATAGTAAAAAAAAAATTGTAGGTCTCACTTCTTACCACAATGCTGAATCATGGTGCCAAAAAGTTAGGAGAAATAACATGACCTAAATCTGATGTAAGTAGTTCTTACAGAGACCATATAAAAAGTTATCTTCAACCACATGCAAACATACATGACAGAAGCCACATACAGTTCTATTGCCAATCTCTCCCCACCCTTTTACCTGGAAACCCAATATGTATGAGCGGATGAAGGGAGACATTAAGGGCTCTTTCACACATGCGTTGAGAATTTACCGCCTATAGCGTTAACAAAGTGTTAACAAGGATTCAAAAACACTTAGAAAATGCACTGCCCCCCCAAAAATAATGATTACATGATAAAATAATGATTACAAATGTAAAAAAAAGTAAACATAGAAAATAAAAAAACAGCGTGGGGTCCCCCTGCCAATCCATACCAGACCTTTTAGATCTGGCCGGAAAGTTAGGAGGGATCCCAAGTACAAAATGTTTTTTTTTTAAACTGCGGGGTTCCCCCCCAAAAGTCATAACAGGCCCTTTAGGTCTAGTAGGAAAAAAGAATGTGGTGCCTCCACCCTAAAATTCCTACCAGACCTTGATCCAAGCACAGGCCTGTTAGGGCAGGAAAGGGGGGGGAGAACGAGCGAGCGCCCCTCCCTGCACCATACCAGGCCACATGCCCTCGGCACTGGGAGGGTGCTTTTCCAGGGTCAGCCCTGGAAGAGCACCTAGCACCCATGCCGATGTGGACAAGGGCCTCTTCTCCGCAAACCCTGACCTGTTGGTTGTGTATCCCCTACTCATTTACTAAAGGGTTCAGAGTAAAATGTAAATAAATATACCACACGTTTAAAAAAGTCCTTTCATTGAAAAAAACACTACGCAAGTTTTTGACAAGTCCTTTAATAAAAAAAAAACCCCAAAAATGCATCCATCGAAGTAATCCAATGGTCAATCATGGCGTTCAGCGTTGTACAACTCGTCGAAATTTTTTAAAAAGCCCGCCGTCTTGTCCGCACGCCAACTCGTCGAAATTTAAAAAAAGCCCACCGACTTGTCCGCACCCCATGAACACACGCCACCAAATAACCACAGGCAGCCAAATGTCAACCAACAAATAGACAGCGGGGTCGTCATGGCCTGCTCCGGCCAATGTTTATATTTGACCGCGACAGGAGATGAACCACAGGTGGCGGCCAAATGGTGATGTCACCGCTAGCATCGCCTATTTGTTGATATAAGTATTGATAAAGTTGGCCTTACCATGGTAAGGGGGGCAGAGCAGGAGATGATTGTAGCTGGGCAGGGTAGGAGATTGGCTTCCACTGCCATGGACAGGGTAGAGAAGAGGCAAGGTTGGGATGATTGTTGCTGAGGGTGCAATTAGGAGAACAAAAAGCATTGGCTGATCCTGTTCCACTGGGAGAGGACGCAGAGAATATCCTAGTCATGAACTGGACAATGAAGTGAGAGAGGAAATAGAGAGGGAGCGTGGTATGTTCCACTGCCCTTGATTCGCCTTACACTCAGATAGCACTTACTAGATTTCCTGTTTAGTTTTTTTAGACTTAATATGTGTTTCCATACATTGCAAAATATTGTATCAATGAATCTGTTTTTCAATGTTTCTTCAGAATGGCCTCAGTGGACCCTTACAGAAGGAAGAGTTACAGGCTGGAGTTGATGGTGCCAATGGCCTATCTCAGCAGTTACAGAGAAGTAAGGAGTCATAACTTGATGTATTCCCTGTCTGGTTAGATTTATGTAATAGCAACAATGTGCCAGCTGCACTGCGAGTTCCATCCACAGCACAAGGTGATACTGGCACAGCTCCAGGTGTGCCTCTCTCAGTCCACGGCCGTGCTGGCTGGAAACAATGCATTCCATCTCTATCTGTGGAGCTATCTACTCTATCTCTTATCTGGTGAGGGCCAGCTATTACTGTTTTATCCACTGCTGCTAGTGAAAACAATGCAGGCTCTTCACTGCTGACTGTGGGATGAAATATCATCTTGTTAAAATGCTGCACCAAGTGAACATCAAACGCTGTACAGGCAATGAACACCAGAGGAAGAATTATTCTGATGTAACCCAAACAGCACTTCACAGAAGCAGAGGATTGTTGAAAAAGAAAAAGTATAGCCTGGTAAATAAAGCAGAGCTGTACGAATATGTAGTTCATCCAGGCACATAATGGGGGGGAATTTATCGAAACTGGAGCAGAGAAAATCTAGAGCAGCTCTGCATGGCAACCAATCAGCTTCTCTCTTCAGTTTGTTCAGTTAAGATTTGAAAATGAAATAGAGAAGCTGATTGGTTGCCATGCACAGCTGTTCCAGATTTAGTTTGCTCCAGTTTTGATAATTCCCTTCAATGTGTTTAAACCAATACAGTAAACATGTTTGTACTGTTTTCTCCCTGCCTGCAACAAATTTGTAATATATCACCTATACTAAGATTTATAATATTCCCACACTGATTTACAATCCCAAGTAATATGTTCAATTTGTCAAATGCCCCTTCCTTTCAAGGCCATTTAACTCTTCCTTTCCTGCCCCGAACTCAGATCCTGTTTGTTCAGGACAGTGCATTAATCCTGCAACACATGTAAACAGTGGGATTTGTGTGGCGTACCTTTGACTCCCAGGCAGAGAAATGCGCCCGATGTGTACACTGTATGCCCACTTCCTGGGTACTAGTAGCCTTATTCTGTCATGCAACACTACCCAAATTAATTTTCTAGAATTATTTTGAGACATATTGACCTTTCTTTTGGTGGTATTTATTAACCATTTCCATTACTTTTTATTATATGAGGAATAATAATAAAAAAAGGCCAGGATAGCACAGACTCCTTTTTGAAAATTGGACACCCCAAGGTGATCTGATTTTTTGCCACAATGTTTGGCAGTGAAGAAACATTCTGGTATTAACTCACCCTATTTTCCAAATCAATCCCACAACATTGATGCTCCACTGCACATTAAAGCCCCCCTCTTGAATCGCAAGTCTTCCTATGCTGCAGCCATTTTCTTTTTATCTTCATTCAGGCTGCAGTCCTTCTCCTTTTTGTTCCTTAATTTTGAAAGGAAGTTGGGGGGGTCTCAAATGTTAACACAGAGTGTTTACGTTTGTGATTACCGTGACTGTCACTCTGTTCGGCTCTGTGACTCTGATCTGCACTGTCTAATAACAGTTTGATCACATTCCTTGTGCAGGTTCCTTACACTTTGGAGTTGCTGTGCTTACTGCCAACTGGTTGTTTCATTTTCTGAGTTCTTCAGTAAAAATAAAAAAAAACCCTCCTATCAATTCATGGATCTGTCAACATCACTAAAACATGACTTTCCCCAAACTGTCCGAGACTAGTAAATGGTTTTTCCATTGTGTGTTGGAGTGTGGACTCTATATACATACCTAGGAAGGAGTGTTATACCCACCACAAATGTGTGCTTGTTTATCTACATGTATTTTATTTATTTTTTACAGGGATGACTGCAGTCGTCAGGATTAATAATGCCATCCGAAACGGCGTTGCTGAAGAGACGGTGCAAGAGCTGATGAACCCAGATGCCCAGCTGCCAGAAGTATACCCATTTGCACAAGATCTGTATCAAAGAGAACTGGCCACACTGCAGCAGCAGAGCCCAGAGGTGAGTTTTTACTGCATGCACAGCATTTCTTTGACTCTTAGATTGCACATACCATGAAGTGGAGTGAGTCACCTGTTCCCCTATACCTGGATGTGCCAATAATTTTTTGTTTTGGTAGGGAAGTGAACCAAAATTACATAGAAAAAAGAAGCATGATAGTCTATGAGACTCTGCTGCTGAGCTGCATAACCCAGGCAAGAATTTCTTGCTTCTCTGCGTTAAAGCATGGATGTGCTTGGGGAAACTTGATAGTCCTACTGGAAAAGCAGCATTTGTTGTATGCTGTGTCTCAAACACAGGAGGAAGAGGACTTAGAAAAGTCGTTTTGAAAAGAAAAGACCTTAACCAACACATCTAATATTTTTATTTAAAATCTATTTGGCAGATATGGCAGTATAATAATCATGAGTTTTCCAGATCAGAGGATATTTAATGGAGGGGCAATGTTTTACAAACCCATAGTCGACGACTTCTTCATGGCAGTTAACATGGAACATTAGACTGCACAGCAAAGTTAGAGAAATGTCACCTATTTAAAATTTCTGTCCTGAGATGGGTTCTTTTACACGCACGTTGTTGGAAATTCTTTCTCTTGGATCATTTTAGTTTGCTTGCCCCTGGGTTTTAGGCTGATCAAAGTTATTTAAGTGGCAAATGGATATTTATAATTGAGCCAGCCCCTCAGATACCGTTGTTGCTTGTCCAAAATTTATCAGCCAAAACATTTCAAGCCAATGGCCATTTCCTCAGTTAATGGTATCTTATAAAACAGCCCAATTGTCAACGGAAATGATTAAAATTGTAGGCATAGGAATTTCTCCATAATCCTTTCCTACTGTTATTTTCTGTACTGTGCAGACACCCCTGGTGCTGGCCTTAACTCTGGATCACTAGTGATCATCTTGGGAAAAAAAACATTTTGGATGATTGTTTTCTGTCCTGTGATTAGTGCATTGTGCACGTTAAAAGAAAGCTGTTAAAGTGATGATATCAGGTCTTCAGGCCACCATCTCATGTCTTATAGCTAGAGGAAACCTGTGTTTAGAGAAATATGAAGGTTATTTCCAGCTTCCAGTGCCCCCACGGCTTTCATCCGACAGTACATCCTGACTTTAGTACAGATAGCTGAGTAATAAAGCGTTCGCACAGTATATAGCTGTGCTAGCAACGTTTGAAAAAGATTGCTGCTACTGCCAAGCTATACACTGTGTGAACGCCTTATAAATCAGCCCCATATTATCACTGACCTGGACAAAGCAACTGTCTTATATTTTTGAAAATGTCACATTGGTAAAAGCTGGTTTACATTCGTTTTCCTCTTTCAGGGTAACCTCACTCACCCAGAGCTCTCAGTTGCTGTGGAAATGTTGTCCTCTGTGGCTCTAATTAACAGAGCTTTGGATGCCGGAGATGTAAACACTGTTGGTAAGCAGCTGACCATTCCCGTCACTGGTCTGATGGACGTGGAAGATGAGAACCTTCAGAGGTTTGTATGAAGCAGCACAGACTTTCTAAAATGCATTCATAGTTCAAAGTGCGCTGGAATAGGATTTTCTGATACACACAGCACTTCCTAGCATGACATATTAAATAAAATGTATCTGTCACAATTTTATAATGCAGGAAGACTTTATGAGCTTGTTCTGAAATCAGCCTAATCTTACATACACTGACCAGTATATTTTGGTAGTTGAACAGATTCAAAGCTTGCTTGTAATTGTCAGGAAATGTAGCTGCACCCTTGTGAGCAATAACAAGCATGCACAAATGTTGAAAGTATGCCTTTAAATATATCTTTATCATGCTCTGCATTTGATGAGCGATCATTACATTTTCCCCAAAGAAAATGAAACAGTTTTATCACTGCACATGCCTAAAATCTATTTTGGCTGATTTACGTCTGTAATGATCTTAGCGATGACTATCGGAGCAAGTACTGTATATGACGCATGCATGGTGCACAGCAAAACTAGTTACTTACAATAACTTATAACAACTAGTTACTTATAATAAATTGCACATTGTAACAAAGTAAGACATTGTAAACATTCATTATTATAAATCAGTTTAGTTCAGAAATGTCCAAGTGACCTTAGCTTTAAAATACAAACATGGACCTGCACTTCCCTATCCAATTAAAACAGAATGAAATGGATTTGCTAGACAAGAAAGTGTGAAAGACGGGAAAACAAAAGAAAGAAATCCCTGTATAGATAGGAGCACAGGGTTTAGAAAGATCATCCAAGTCTCATGTAAGCACGTTTAAATATTTACTTGCCATTTGTGGGACATATACCATGTATGCTAGTGAGATGTGGCCATCAGGACTCCCAAAATTATCACAGCCAGGCTCCGACGAAGGAGAGCATCTGAACAGTGCATGGCAACTGACTCCTGCCTTCATACTTGTCTCTGCCTACTGCATCCCAGGGTAGTAAACTGTTTCTCAAAGTAAAAAAGCTTTTTTTTTTTTTTTTATACATCAAGGCCATGGGCACAGGTAACATATCTAAACATATTTTCCTGTTAAGTGTATTTGCTTTCAGTGAGATATAAAATAAATGTGTGTTTGTGTGTGTACATCTATCTATCACCTCCATCCATATCTGGCCCTATCCTCTGGAGAGAAAAAGAGCTGGCAGTCTAATGTCTCTGTCACACTTTAGTGCCAGTTTGGTGATGATCTAGTAAAGTCCTCTCCATACAAATCCATAAAGTAAAGCTGGCCATGCATGGTAATGTTGTTGCGTTCAAACTGTGGGCTGAACGAAAAAAAATATAACAAATTTCTCCATCCACGCTAAACAGAGTGGATGTATGATTCTCCTGCTTGCTTTTGTATTCTGACAGCGGTGGGTGTGCTACCGTCAGAATACTCAATTGGCTGCCGCCACCATTTTCTCCAAAATTTTCCAACCGGCTTGTTCCATTTACTGATCGAAGGCTGCCAAATGGCAGGCTGCTGTCAGTGCCACCCACTGAGTGGATTTCAGCTGGTTCATCAAGATCCGATCGACGTTTGCACAGTGTGTGGCCAGCTTTAGTGGCTAATCTCTTATTTCTGTATAGTAGACAGAATCATAGAGATGATTTAGTTATGCCTCAGTGGGTAACTGTTAATCTATAACTTTTTCTTTGCATTTGGGGCATATGCAGTATATCTCAGCAGTTTGCCTCTGGGTCAAATAGGAATGATCTGCATCTCTCTGCCTATCATCCTAATATGAGGAACAAAATCCTTGTTTTTTTGTGGATCGGTGTTAAGAGGGATGATGTGTAAATACCAACCAATCAGCGTCTCTCTTGTTTGTTCAATTAAGATTTGAAAAGGAAAGGGAGAATCCGATTGGTTGCCATGGGCAACTTGTCCAGATTTTGTCTGCCCCAGTTTTGATAAATTCCCTTGACAGAGTTTACAAGAATAAGCTGAAATATGTTACTAAAGTTTTATTGATGTAGTAAAGCTTACCAAGAGCAATGTAAACCTGTGGAGACTGGCTTCACCAAGGGGAACCCGTTTTCTAATGGAGTTGATTAAAGATACAACATTTATTTATTTATATAATTGTTTATTGGATACAAACTCCCTCCTTTTTTTTTTTCTTTCTTTCTTTTAACCTATTATGTATACTGATTTTCTTTTGACAGGTACGTAGATGAACTGATTAAGCTAAAACAACAGGCTCGGGAAGAAGGGAATGAGTTTATTACATGGAATGACATCCAAGGCGCTGTTACACAGGTTAATAATACAGTACATGAAGAGCATGCCAGTAAGTATTCATTGCCATTATTGGAATCAATTTAAGGGGTCTTTTGATATTCAGTTGGGTTCTTGCATGAGTTTAGTAGAACCAGGAAGCTTTTATACAGTTTATTGCTGCAGGTCTGCTGGGGCGGTCTGGCAGCATTATGGGTCATCTCATGTGAAAGCACTACGGTAGAATACTATAAGTATTTGGGTTGGCATAGAAACCAAGTATAATAATATCAGAAGATGCCTTTAATTAGCCATGTAGAGGAGCAGTACGTCTCTTCTTTTCTTAGCATAAATGTTTAAGTGCTTGTACTAGTATTGTGTCGGATATAAGTTCACTACTGATCTTAAAACAAAAACATGCTAAAGTATTCACCGTGAGGATTTGGTAAATGTACATGGTGGCAATTTCTCCAGATAGCTGTGTAGGCATATGCTGTGGAGGCAGTCATTCTCTGAGTGCGTGTCGTGTGTGTGACTGGTGGCTGAGCTCCATGAAAAGGACATTTTATTCACATAATGCAGGTGATCTAACAATGTTAATGGAGCTCTTCATGCATCATTAGGCCATCTGTCATCAGCCTCAAGTAAAGATTGTTTCTGTTTCAGTAGTCAGGCGTATGTTAACACAATAATCCTGTTTGTCCAGCCTGCGGTATGCTGTGCTTTTCAGATTCATAGCATTTATATTGCCATACTTGTTATGGATGTAATATTGATTGTGGTATGTAAAAGATCTGTGTTCTTTCACCCCCAAAAATATCAGTTTTATGTTCCCTGTAATGGAATTAAATGGTGAAAACCCAGAATCGGAAAAAAACCCAAAAGAAAACCTGTGGGTGACCCTCACTGCCAGCGCCCACCCAATACTGACATTTTGATTTTGGATGAGGTTATATAGGAAATGAAATGTTTGTCAAGCTGTTGATACACGTAGAGCTGATCAACAGTTTCATCTGTGTCCAGTGTGGTATACAGAAGTCTAAAGCTGGCCATACACCTATAGATTATCTGCAGACTTTCTATGGTCAGATGGAAAAAGTGCAACAGATTCCTCCATCTACATTAAACTGTGTGGATGGAGGAATCTCCTGCTGGGTCAAGCTTCAGTATCTTGCTAGTCGGCCCCGCTGGCTCTCAAAATACCTGAACATACTGATTGGATGCAGGCATTGTTCAGGCATTTTGAGAGCCAGCGGGACCGACTAGTAAGATAATGAAGTTTGGCCCAGTGGGAGATTCCTCTATCCATACAGTTTGGCGTAGATGGAGGAATCTGTTGCACTTTTTCCATCTGACAATAGAAAATCTACAGAAAATCTATAGGTGCATGGGCAGCTTTAAGAAGGCAGTCTATTGGTGACAATGGTCATCACCATGACGTCTGCTCCCCCCTTTTCTATGCTCTTAATGCTTTGAAAAGAAAATAATGTGGCCAGTAAGTTGCTGCTCAGAGGATGATGATGATGGTGGGAGTTTGCTCAGAATTGGCAGTCATTTTAGGAAATGCATTCTGTATTAATCATTGCTCTCCCTTGCTTGTTCAGGGATATTGGCTATTGGGCTCATCAATGAAGCTTTGGATGAAGGGGATCCTAGGAAGACCCTACAAGCCCTACAGCTGCCAGCAGCAAAACTGGAAGGAGTAGATCCTAATGTAGCTCAGCATTACCAAGACACCCTGGTCCGAGCAAAAAGAGAGAAGGCTCAGGTGGGCATAATCTGCTTATTGAGGAAGACGTGGTGAAAGGCGTATAGTTTTGTATTGCTATGCATTTAGTAGAATCTGTACCAGCCACGGTTATTGGGCTGTGCATTATCTGGTGGTGCAGTGGCACTTCACTTCTTATTTCAAACAGGTTACCTATCAATGCTTCTAATAGACACTCACACATAACTAAAGGTGATCTCTAGGCAAACTGTTAAATAGATGATGGAATACACATGTGGGAGGTGGCTTACCAGCCAATAGATGTGTATTACTGTCCATCTGTTACTCAGATTTATACAGCACTGGCAGACGGCACAGGCAGGTGGATGTCCCCACTTTAGTTAAGGAATACATTGGTACCCTTTGTCCACCCCAAGCCTACTTATAATATTCTAGCTTTAGCGATTTAATGAGGTCTTTCCTCTGGGCACCCTGCTCTTTCCTCCTGTCAGACTGTGCCTTGTCAGGACATGTGCTTGCAGCACACATGATTGTCTCCCAGTTTATCCTCTCCCTTTCTAAGTCTGAATGCTGCTGACACACATGGGATTAAAAACAGAGTGATACTAAGTCGAATTCAGATAGTTCACACTATTACAATAAAAACAAATATACATTACATGATTTATACATGGCTGTATTGGTGTATGTATTGTATATCTGCCTGGAATTCAGCTTTAAAGTTCTAATAAACTAAAAGGTGCATGGTTACTGAGCTCTGCATGTAACAGGCATAAAATATGATAAGGTCCTGGCGCTCTAGACTGATAATCTGTACGGACCCTGCAGGCCATTGTCCCATCATAACCCCTTTCATGTTTCCATGTATGCCAGCAGTGACCGGCCCCTTATAATATGAGATGCTTTTGCTGGATTAGTGCCAGCCATTGAAGTAGTCTGTGACCATTCTTATTACTGTTCGCATAACCATTCTTGTATTTCACTCACAGTAACTGCAGCCAGACCTCTTAGTTTCATCTCTTTTGTGCTATAAAGTTATTCTCGCTGTTGGGCCTCATGAATAATAGATGGGGTTATCTTAATGTTAGTGTTATGTTTGCTTTGTACAGTCGGGTGTGTGCTTTGCCCTGTGAACAGTTACATTTACAGTGCATAGATGAACTTGTGGAACTGCTTTTTATCTCCTGGTAATGCAATGCAGCTCATTTTTTACATTCATTTTGCCACAGCATGTGTTAGAGAAAAAATAACTAACATATTGGAGTTTAAAAGGTATCTATGGCCCAAAACTCAAAATATATCCCACTCCTAATAATGAAATCAATCTAGAGGTTTGTAAACTTATTGAAGGTGCCTCTAGGTCATGCTTCCTTAATGTACAGTGACACAATTTCACTCAGCCCTGTGAATATGCACTCCATTGTGACTTCTGAACTACAACTCAACATCTGAATAATGCAACGTTATCATTGCTTGCTGGAAGCAATGCATTATGGGCAATGTAATCTTGTGAAATGGAGATTGCATCACATTAAGCAGCAGGGAAAGAGACGCAAAGCACACTGGGAATCAAGGAAGTTGGTGAAAGTGATGGGCAGACAGAAGGCAGCACTCGCTACATAAAAGGGATTTTTTCAAGTAAGCTTTGATTGCATTATGAAAAACAACTCTAGTATGTATTCCTATTACAATGCTCATGTTATAATGTTATAGTATATGCTGGGACTTCAGAACTCCTTTAAAGAAATGACACATCTTTATGAAGTGATGTGCAGTATGTAAAGTGCTGCGTATTTGTTGATACTATATAAGTATCGATAATAAATAAATGTGGCTGAAATGTTTGCATTCCAGAATAAACTTTATGTACTGCTCAGAGAAACGGAGCCCACATATGGAGTCAATTATGACTGTCAATGTGGGCAGAGGTCTAATCTGGAGTTAGAACGGATGTGAGTTGGAGATAACAGTTCCTGTATTTTCCCCTTATGTATGTCATGACGTGGTAATGCTGTAGTAAGCGTGACTAGCAGGAAGGTGCAGGCTTTGCTGCTTTTGTCCTTTAGCAGGTTTATAAAATGTATTCCATCAAGTCAGAGGAACATTGAGCTGTCATAGAGGAGATATGCAGGGAAGCAGGCTTTCATAAAAATGTCAGAGCAAGTCATGCATGTCGGTGTGACACAGAAGTCCTTTGTAGTGAAAGTCCTAAGACCTAACTGGTTCACATGGAAATATTAGCGGCTACCTTGAAGGACTTGTAGAAAAGTGCTTGGAATAAGTGCGGTCACAAAATTCATAATTCAAATGGACTTCTTCAATACAGCAGTACAGAGCGCAAAATCCGAAATGCAAACTGCTGTAACCCCTAGTAACAAATCAGATTTCAGAATTATTTCCTCTAATATCCATATATTTTGCAGGCTTTTATTCCATACATGCTACCTGTGCAATTATTTACATTTTCATATTAACCCTTGATGTGCTATATAAGTCAGCTAGAGTGGAAAGTACTCCAGCCATGAGAGCGTAAACAAGAGTTAAAAGCTTCCAGCCAGATCATGCATTGGCTCGGGTACAGGGTGTATGAGAATTTGTACAGGAACTGATTTCCAGTCCAAGCATTTCCTCCCGCTGCTGAGCTGGGCTGAAATCACCATTTCTATTCCCTGAGCTCAGGGGCTGCCAGACTGGGCTGCACAACACGCCTGGGCAGAATTGCCTTATTTAGTCATGAGCTGCGTACCCAACACACAGGAACGTCACATATTGTGGGACAACAACCAAATTTAGCTTTATTATTAGAAAAACAGAGACCGATATGTGAGACTTTAAGGTTTGCTGCCTCTGGTTGGTTGGGCACAGCGGACTCGTATGTCATCTCACTTTTTGCTCTGAATTCCCCCATCTATTATGTAATATGTGTAAGCTAATTTATAAGAATAAATGAATGTGACATTCACATTTTTGATCATTAGCAATTTAAAACATAGATTTCTTATAGCTTGCATTGTGACTCTTTATAGAATTTATACACTCTTAATGAATTTGTCGAGGGCTAGGCTATCATAAAACATAAATAAACAGCTGTATTGAGCACTATGGTAGTGTGTTTTTGTAGCATAAAGTTCCCTTATGTATATACACATCTCCTACATACCATTACGAGTTTATTTCCTTCTTTGTCTGCTTTCTTCTTTGTTTTTGTTGATTTTTCATGTTAAAGTAGGCCGTGCACTGCCTGAATTTTGGCCGAGTCCTGCTGAGGAATGATGTGCAGGGGATAGAGCCAACCCAGTTTTCTAGGGTTCACCCAAGCCATGCAAAGCTGTGACTGGCACACCCCCTCCCAGCTCAATCAGTAGTGGCAGGGGTTTCCCTACACCTTTTGTGATGTGTAGCTGTAGGGTGGGGAACGTCCTGGCTGCAACTGATTGAACTGGTAGGAGGTGTGTCGGTCACAGTTTTGCGTGGGCTTGGGCAAACTCGGTAACTGGGTCAGCAGCACATCACTACTGCTGCCGTAAGTCGACCTGTAACAGGCTGAGGTTCATAGCCCAATACTTTGATGGTCATTGAAATATATACATGCTCTGAAATGACACAGGGATGCTGCAGTATGGCTTGCAACTCCAAAACCTTGGACTACCACAGAAACACCTATGTATATATGTGACTACAAATAGGCACAACAAAATTCTGTCCTTTAAGTAGCAGATGCTTATAGAGTCGTCCGATAACCATTGGGCTTATTCAGTAAGACAACACTAGCTGCTACAGTGATGTGTAATGTGTCTGCGCAAGGGACAGGCGTTGTCTGCGCAAGGGGCAGGCTTGTATTATGGGCATTGCAGAGATCATTTAATGGAAAAAGTCCCAGCATATACTACACTACTATAACATCAGCATTGCAATAGGAATACATATTATAGTAGTTTATTGATGCAATCAAAGCTTACTTGAAAAAATAGATTTATGTAGTGAGTGCTACCCTCCATCTGCCCATCACTTTCACCAGCTTTTCTGGATTCCCAGCGTGCTTTTTGTCTCCTTCCCTGCTGCTTAATGTAATACAATCTCGATTTCTAAAGACTACATATCCCATAATGCATTGCTTCCAGCAAGCAATGATAATACATTGTTCAGATGTTGAGTTGTAGTTCAGAAGGAAAGCTTTGTGAGAATTGTGACACACGGAAGTGCATATTCACAGGGCTGAGTGAAATTGTGTTGGTGCATTGAGGAGGTCTACAATAAGCACGTTTACAAACTTCGAGATGGATATGGGTATTACCGGTAGGTGGAGTGGGATAGAACTTATGGAAATTCAAATACATGTTTATTTTAGTCTGTAGCTGGCCATAAACCTGCCTACTTTTACACATAATGGGTGTGTATAGCATTCAGAAATTGTCTGTAACATCTAGTGACATTGTTTTAATTTTGAAGAAAGCATATGACGTCCTCAGATATCTCTTTACCGTTTTTCCTGCAAAGGGTGGCCAGCTAATATGCAGCTTGGGCCCATAATTTCTAGATTATGGACATTGCTGCTCACATGATGCTAAATAGGGAAACGTTATAGAATAATGGGTACAAAGCGCTCTTCCTTGTTCAGCTGACCTAGAAAAACCTGATGACAAGGTATAGCAATCTATAGGTCCTATTTGTTTAGAGTCATTGGGAGCCCATCATACATGTGTTTATGGAAAAGGTTGCAGATGTCATGTTGCCAGTATTGGTGCAGTATGGTGCTAATTTTACTGCACACGTCTCTGCCCATTCATTCTTTCACTTCCTCTCTGATGTTAATGTTCAGTCCATCTAAAGCCGGCAAAAGCCGCAGCTTCCTACCCACCCACAGATGGCTTTCGTGTAACTCCCTGATCGGCTCCATCCGCTCTGGAGAACAGTACACAGGGGTTTGTTTTGAACTTGTCTCTAGGTGTCGCTCATTTTTGCCATATTATGGTCTCCTGCAGAAGGCAGAAATTAATTCTGACATCAGAAGGGTGGATAGGCGGGCAATCTGGATTCCTTCTAATGTAAGAGAAGTAACATTAGTTTAGTTACATTCAGGTAGTTGGGTGTGCGCTTCATGTGGACTGATGCATCACAAATACGTCTCTGGTCTCCTCTCTAGTGTGGCTCCTTTCCGTCTTTGCCATTTACATCTTCCTCTGGTGTGGCTGTTACTATCCCTCTTCGTTGCCATGCTTTGTCCTTACTGCAGTACACACTAATGAGCAACTTCATGACCTTTGTAAAGATGGTAGATGTCTGCTACAAAAAAAAAATCACTTCTAGTTTGGCAGGTAGAAATTTTGTAGCTATTCTAATGGTCATTTAATTGCTGCATATGCATGCAAAGGGGCAGTCTACTGTCATTGCTCTCTGTCTCTTAATGTAAACTGTTTAAGAGTATCCATTAGAGAAACCTACTGATGACACTTTGCCGCTATATCCTAACAAATGGGCCATAATAAACCCAAGAACTAAAATGTGATATACTGCCGCCTACCAGTCCTTAAATGTTCTCAAAATCCAGTGTCCTAATTTCCTTGAGATGAGCTGGAAGCGTAATGATGAACAAAGGCAGGCATGTTTTGAAGTCTAGCATGGATGGCAACCATGGCTCCCTCCATAAATACAGTGAAGGGGTGAGCATAGCCACCCTAGGACAGGAAGTGTATAATTGACAGGCATAACAGGTGAAAATAAAGAGAAAAACGCCTTAATAAAAGAAATCTAATGAAGCCACCACATCTAAGGACTCTGTTTTTCGATACTGCTAAACAACATGCTTCCATTTAGTCCTTACAGATATGTAGATGTTCAGCACATCTCGCATTATGCATCAATAAGATGCAGAAGGATACAGTAATATGGTGTCATGTCTTACACAGCTGTATGGTGTTATGCTTGTGGGGCTTTGGACATATTGGGAGCGATACACTTAGCACAGGTCAAAGAACAGATCAAAATCTGTCATCAGAACAGGAATAGATAGGAAATCTTCCAATAGCACTGAGTACTAAGGATTTCCCTCATTTTGGAGGGATTTACTCTCACTTCCTGTTGTGACTATCGGACAGGAAGTGAAGGGGACACAGATGGCAAAAAAGTGACAGGCGTTATAACCCTCCCTCACTCGATCCACACTTAAAAAAAAAAGTTTTGACTTAATTCTTGCCCTCTGTGAAGATTATACTGTACAATATAGTACACTGCAGTTAAACAATGTTGTTCATAAATTACTGAGGATATACAGTACGAGTTCCATTTTTTTTTTTTCTTCTAGAAGAGATTGTGTCCTTTCATGTTTGTAATGTCACTGATCATTTCCATTGTTTATCTACCCATTACCTCTAGATCGGTGTAGCCCTGTAGAATGTTGCTCTATAGCACCTCATTGTGCCCAGACAGGAAACATTGGAAGTTGCCGCTTCAACTACTAGATCACCTACCAGATTTATATGCTTGGTTTATGTTTTAGTTGAACTCTCGGCTGGCTTCTTGGCAGAAATTATAGTTTTGTATTACCAGTTAGCTTTTACACAAAGGGTGAATAGTGTTTGCTAGTTCATAATGTAAACAGCTTGTGTGGTCTCCTGGAACAAAAATGGCTTTGACTAGTCATCACTGGAGGACTTTTATGAAAGGGCTGTGTACAGAGTATACTTCATTATGGAAATTATCTTTCTTTTTTCTTTATCTGGAAGGAAAATATGTTAACTATCACTTCTTACACACAGGAAATTGTGGCATCATTACTCTGGTTAGAGCATGATTAACTTGTATTTGACTGCACAATCACTAATGAGTAATGAATCCATTAGGCCCTGTGTACCATGTCAATGCACCTAAATTGCTTCATTGTGAATTATTTTAGACTGGCTGCACGTATACGAGATGCAGTACTGCACATATTTTAACAGAGAACGAAAGCCAAACCTTTTTCTTGGCATTAGTTCTGTTTTGGGTCACAGGAGTTCATCTAATAATGTACTCCTGTAACCCAAACTTAAAGGAGAACTATGGGGTTAGGGCTTTTCCCAATAGTTCTCCTTAGTGTAACGGGAGGACACAAACTAGCGTCCTCCCGTCACCCTAAGCTCAGTATACCGCGAGCTACAACTCGCGCTATACTGAGACGCCGCAGCTGAAGCGGATCCCGAGAATTATGTCTGGATCCGCCCAGTTGCGTGAGTGACAGCTGGATCTGCCTATCTAGAGGGAGAGCCAGCTGTACCCACCCCGTCCCCCGTCGGTTCCGCCAGTCAGCGCTGGAGGATCGGAGTGGGGGAATCCAGTGCCTCCCCTGTCACGGCAGAGAGCCGTGACAGGATCGAGAAGTGAGCGAACGCCGGTATGTGTTCGCTCACTTCCCGATCTACTGAACCGACCTGTGACAGTTTAGTTGTCACAGGTCGGCTAGAACTATGAGGATGAGTGAAATGCACTCGCCTGATCTCCTTTAACATATAGCGGGCCACTGCCCGCTATACATTAACAGCGCAGAGCCGAGCTGCAGCCGGGAAAGACGATGAAAATATTGTTGGGATCTAGTCTGCTATCTGGTTGACAGCTGGCTCTGCCTCTCCTCTGTCTGTCCCTCCAATGAGAGCTAGAGGCTGGGAAGTTCAGCTCAAACTCAGTACACTTTACGGCAACTGCACTAACACACTACATTGTACTGGATTCGTTTAAACGAGCCCTAAAATAGAAAATGTAGACGCTGTACCCATAAAAAGCAAAGGACAAGTTACATTACCATTGCCTGTGGTCTCCTGGCAGCTGATCTATTACTGACTTACCATGCTTTGTTCTGCACTGTGTCTTTGTGTGAAGGCGGCCTTCTTGGTAGAGAAGCAGAACTTTACTACCTCATGTCAGAGCTGCCCCTCTGGTGAATTGTGATCTGACAACTAATGCAGGAATAATCAAAAAGCAGAAGAAAAGGGTTCAGAAAGCCCAGACCCACAAAATGAATGAAACAGGGTAATCCTTGCATTGCAAAGCTTCAGGTACAGCTTCCTCTGTAGCAGGGAGAACGGTGAGCAGCACAACATTTGATGTCGCCAATGATCATTGGCACATTGTAGCTTAAAAATAAAAAAACACTTGTGGAAAAAGAGTTGGGAAAAATGCTTAATGTACACCCTGCTTTTGCAGGAGAGTGAGACATCATGGGAAAGCCGAGTATCCCCAAACACACAAGAAGACAATTCTGCCCAGTGCAGTAGTGTATCGATTTTGGTGAGTTTTGGGATTCTCAGCATTTCCAGGATCTCACTGGAAAGAGCATGTCATCATCCTCGCCTAAGAGCCTAATGTGAACGTCATGGCAGGGTAAGTATTTTTTCTATCTTTACTCTTTCAGCTATAGTGTAAAGATTACATGGGGGCAGAATGTAGCAGAATAAGCAGACCTTGAATATTAGAGCTTTAAATGATCTCGCACTGCAGATATACATTTGTGAGGCTGTGGGTGCAGCAATGCTTAGGCACAGGAAATGTACTGCTATTATTCATGGGAGTTTAAGATGAAGAGGTAAATTTTTCAGGGTGCTGCTCAGCAAAATTAACATTGTTAACTGTTCACTATAACAGAGAAGTTCTGATCCACTTTTATGTAGCAAGTAAATGCATAGTGCTACTTTGCATGTAATCTGCATCATATGTTGTCGACAATGTAGATGACTGTAAATTATCTCTATGCCAGTTTCTTACATACCAATGTTCCAGTAACAGCCTATTTTAGTCCCGAGTTGTAGCTATACTTCTTTTCAGTTTCTCAGATATGAAGCTATTTAAAAGATTACTTAGTTCTGAAATGTTTTAATGGTAAACAGGTATTTCTAATGGTGTTTTTACAAATGTTATCGATCTCTGAGGAAAGCTGACATTCCTGATTAGTACATGGCCCGGTTACAGTAGACAGCAGTGCCCTCTGCTGGTCACCATGTTGATGGTTTTCTTTAGGAAATAAATGTGTTTGTGTATATGTTATAATGTGATCTACTAATGATAAAAACAAAATCATCTTTAGAACATGGCTACTAGTGCTAGAATTTATTCCTTATGGTTCATCTGCCTAGGAAACAAAAGATGACTCTGCAGTTCTGTGGCTGGATGAAATCCAAAACGGAATATTGCGCTCCAACGGTGAAACAGAAGACGCCCAAAGATGTACGTACCTATGTGAATGTGGTCTGGTTTCTTTTTCCTGATTAGACATTTTCTGGATTGCTTCGGTCATTGACATGAAATTGAGTTAATTTTCTTATAACATCAAAGATGGTATGTAAGCACATCAAGTGTTTACTTAGGGCTTATGTACACAGGGTTATGCTTGCTGCTCCTTTTCTTCTCATGTAAAGTCTTTGTGATGGCAAAAGCAGCTTGAAGCAACACATTGAGCAGCTCAGGAGCATATCAAAGCAGCTCAAAACGCAGCTGAAAGCATATTGTGTTTGACTTGCTTCTGTTTGACTTGCTTCTGTTTGACTTGTCCACACAGATGAACCTATATGCTGTCTGACTTTAGGGCTTTTTGGGGGTTTATTATACTGTCCTATTTTATTCCCATTTTCACAGCTCTGTAATAGGGATTACGCAGTGAGTTAGTTAATGATTGCATGGCTGTTAAGGAAAGTGTTCTGCTTCTACACGTACATTATTCAATACAAAAAGAGAGCCCTGTCAGCACACCTTGCCCTGTATCTCCCTTCTTTGCCATACCTCATCATTTCCTTATGGAACTATTATGATATTGAGGTGTGGTGTATCACCTTATTACAATGCCTCAATTCACATTTAATGTGAGCAGTAGTTATGACTATTATCAGTCTGGAAAAAAACATGAAATTGCCTCATTAGAATTACTAATATATAATAAGTAAATGCGCACTTGTGGTTAGCCGTCAGCTACTTGCTTTCTACTTTTTTTTTGGACTTTGAAAAATCCACTTGTCTGTACAAGTCGGCTTCCCTTATTGTCAAAGTTTTTGACTTGCTTTTCTTCATTCCAGTCGCTCGTGGTATCTTGGCTGTTAACGAGGCTGTAGACAGAGGTGACAGTGCCCAGACGCTCAGTGCCCTGAGATCTGCAGATGTTGGACTCTACGGCGTGACAGCAGAATGTGCTCAGACCTATCAAAATGAGTTGGCGGAATTAAAGAGCAATAAAACCGCACAAGGTAGAATTATTCCAGTGCATTATAAAATCATGCCATTACCTATGAATTGTAATTTACAGCATGGTACAGTTACTGTTGAAATGAGTGAGCTATACATTACCATAGAGAAAAATCAAACTAATCTTACTGGAAAGATTACGTAATTGTAGAGCTTGTAGATGACCTAAAGGCATTACTTATGTTGTGCTCTGTTCTTTGCAATATTGATGAACATCAATCAGATGGGGGAAATGTCAGCCATTATTGCATTGATCTATATGATGTGTATAATGAGATTCATCCCTCATTTGAAATGTCTCTGTGCTTTGTAGGGGACAATGGAAGCGAGTGGGTACAGCACTGGGTGAAAGGTGGTTATCATTATTACTTTAATCTGCATAGTAATGATGGTGGATGGGAAGAACCACCAGGATTTGCACCGAACAATACTCAGCTCTCCAAAGAGGACATTCAGGTAAGTGGAAACAAATATTTATTAGTACCAAGACTGCCTGTAATTAAACCATTAGTCTTTTTAAAACGGGAAGTGTCTTCAAGTATGGTGTCTGCTAATTTAAAGGGTATGTGCATCAATGTATTGCACCAATGACTAAAGATCATAAAGTCATCTTATTGTGCCTATAAAGAATTGCTAGAAACTAATGCTTCACCTTCCAGTTTTGTAATGTTTGTTTTTCCGGTGTGTATAAGACTACTGTACCCCGCAAGAACTGAGGGCAAATTGCAGTCTGTCCAATCAGAATTATTGTCAGAGGATTTTCCTCTTTTAAGGGTTGGATATTTTATCTTTATCTTTAAATCAGTTCTACATTTTAATTCCTTGAAGTCTTCATTGCTCTTCTCCTGGTGGCATCCTTTGTATTCATCTGTGTCCAATGTGTGGGTGCATGCCCCCTAATGATGACTTGTGGCAGCTCCTCTTCAGGTTTAATCTATGAACACACGGTGAATGTGCAGCATGTCAGCCTTAAGTCCAAAATGGTAACCAGCAGCCTAGGGTGATGTATAGTGACTGAGCGTTGTTGCCCTATGACAGTAAATGTGTCATTGCAGGATCACCAGGTCAAAAGAAAAGTGTAAAAAAAAAAGCCTGAAAAACAAAGAGTAATACAGCCCCTACATCTAAGGACTGGGAAACTGCAATAAATCTGTTTGTTTTTGGGATTTAGAGAACCCATTTGGGTTAGAAGTTAGGGGTTTAAGTGTTAAGTTAAGCTGTAGGGTTAAAGGACAAGTGCACTTTTTCATTGAGTGTTGGGAGCAAAGAAAGATATTGCTAACTTCCATGTATGAATAGCTTCCCTCCTACATAACAGCTCTGATGGTTGCTCAAACATCCACCCTTGTATATGAAACCAAGGAGAAAGTTCTCATCTCTGTGTAATCTTGACATGGCAATCTAGAGCACACACGGTGAACTCTCCTGGCGGCCAAACACAGCGGTGGGGTAGTGAAGAGAATGTGCAGCTTCTCATAATGCTGGCTTTAAAGTGAACCTGTCACTTTGCACTGCATGGCCTAGTATATTTGCTATATCCAGCACTGCCTTTTATGTATAAATGCCAGTTTCCTGAATATGCCAGGTGGACCGGTTATATCTCAAGCGCCAGTTTCCTTTCTGCAGTCTAGCACATGCATTGTGCACATTTACTTGAAAACCAGTGTTTCTATAGAGAAGGCAAGAACAGAATGTTGAGGTGGAAGGGAGGGCAAATGCTGACAAAAGTACACCTGTCTTTTAAAGTGTTCAAAGTTTATTTTTGGGGTAAGTTAAAGTGAGCCTAAGGGGCGAGTTTCAGGTTATGTGTTGTGTTAAGGGTTTAGACCTAGGGGGAGGTTAATTGATAGGGAGGGGAGGGGCTTCTGGGAGGAAGAGCTAAGCTGTCACATGACATTGATGGGACGTGATGGACTCTCCTCCTATCTCAGAGTGTTCTCTGCAGCGTTATGCAGATAAGACTCAGAAGAACACCACACTGTGCTCTGCATTTTACAAACTATAAAAAGCGTCCTGCTCAGCATAACATGTGAGCACTGGTGTGTAGTGTGAGGGATGGTGCAATGCATTGTTATAATTGTTATGCTGCATTTTTATGCAGTGCAATGCAGCATTATTGTGTAAATGGGGCAAATATATAACAATTGTTTTTTATGTGCCATTGCGTTGAGCCTGCATTGATCAATGCAGATCAACGAATGGGGTGTGAACAAATATAGAATGCAGGAGCAGTGTAGGGTAATCACTAAGATGTTCTTGAAGAAGCGTATAGGTGTACCTGATGTCTGTTTATATATCGGCCACATAATACAATAAATGCTGCTGTGGAGGCCTAAAAGAGGCATAAAAGTGCAGCTAGTGAGTAAAATATCAATGAGTGTATATAGTCAGTTCTGAACAGCGCCAAGCACAAAACTTAGCTATTTGACAGAAATTGACTATTCATTCTTAAAGCAGACAAGCTTGATCTATGTAGGTGACCACACTTAAATTATTTATGCAGTGAAAGCAATCATCTAGCTAGAACATGTTCTTTTTTACTGATCGTATATATATATATATATGCTATCTATTTTGCAGGCTACCATTTCAGGTGTTTCAGCTGCATATAACCGGAAACAACTATGGCTTGCCAATGAAAACCTTATTACTAAACTGCAAGCCCGGTGTCGTGGCTATCTCATACGCAGGCAGTTTAACACTAGGATAAAATTCTTAAAGGAACAGGTCCCTGCTGTAACATGTATTCAGGTAAGTTCTGCTTTATCAGGCATATTAGAGTGGGGTTTTCAGCACTGCCCGTGACCCTCTGCAAGTTTAAGAAATTGAAAAAATCTATTCTTGCTTACATGATCTTTCATGTAGCAGTTTAGAAAAAATGTTTTGCCTATGCCATTGTTAACCCTGTGCAGTAAATTCATTCAGAAAATCTTAATTTTTTTATATCAATTGATAACAAAGTGCTGTCATGTTTTAGCAGTTAGGTATGTGCAGCCTTGAGTATTCAAATGTCACTCTCTTTTCACAGTTTTCCTACTCCGCTTGTACTCTTTGAGTATGGTATGTCTGTCCTATAGGAATCTCGATAATAAATAATCCCAATTTAGCAAAATGGGAACATCTTGCAACAGTAAAAATGCTATCTTGTAAACCGTTTTGTTTGGATTGAAGGTGTTCAAGGCATTACCTTGTATTTAACTTGTGTGAGTTGTGTTCTCAAAGGAAGTATGCGGAGGACTCAAGGACAGGTAGAATTGTCAGTATAAAAATTCAAGAGGGTTTGAAGCCATTCTCGAAGGCTGCATCAATACGAATGTTATGTTCAATAGATTTAATTTATGTCGCCATTTTACTGCAGCTATAATGGCAGGAATGATAGACGTAAACAACCACATAATACAAAATTATAGGAAGGGTTAAAGAGACAGTAGTGGAAAAGTAGATAAGATTTTCTGAATGTCGCAGTTAGAACACTGTGTACGGAATGAATTGTGAGACGAGTCACAATGAGTCCTCACCAGTGTTGGAGTGGGATGCGGAGAGCCCATCAATAAAGTCAAGTCTATTTGGGCAAAAATAATATATAGTATGCAACACAATGACAATCAACATAAAAGCATTTTCATGATTCTGCAATACTGAAATTCAACAAAACAAGTTTATATGCTATGCTGCCAGATACATTTCACATGGGCAGTTTTCTTTATTTGTGCTGCCCTTTGACATTAGATTTGACGGAGATGGTTCTTAGTTGTAGCAAGCTACAAATAGGACCTGAGAGACAGGAATATTTTACATTTATTGTTTTAATACTTCCTTAGTGTGGAAGAAATATATGATTGTAGCTGTGAAAATGTAATTGCCGCTTTGCAGGTTGTTATGGCAACAATGACTGCACGTATAGGTTGTGTTGTAAGATATACAGTTATAACAATGTAGTTCTTATAGAAATTTAGAGGAGTGACAGCACAGAAAGATCAAGTGGTGCGTCTAGTCTGACCTTTTTAATTAAAAAAAACAAAAAACATTTGTGCCTTAAGATAGACATATGTTTAGCCCGAGTGTGTATAAATTCACTTACTGTTGACTGACTCACTACCCCGCCTGGAAGTCTCTTCACTGCTCATTTGATAAAATAATACTTTTTAATGTTACCCTTTAACTTTTCTGCACGTTTAAGGCTCTGTAATTTTGAGCTTTATGTTGAAAATACGGCTCTCCTGAACCTTATTCACACCCTTAATGTATTTAAAGGTTTCAGTCATGTCCCCCTTCTCCTGTCTTTGAGGCTGTACTTATTAAGTTCCTGTAGTCTCTCCTAATATGTGTTATCCCTCAGACCTAGTTGCTCGTCTCTGGACCCGTTCTGTCTTAACATCTTTTTGTACTTGAGGTCTCCAAAATTGGACATTGTTTTGAAAATGAGGTCTAACTAAAGCTCTGTATAGTGTAATCAGGATCTCTTTCCTCCTGATTGTGACACTCTATTGATGCACCCCAGCATTCTGATTACCTTTCTCAATGCCAGGTCACACTGTTTGCTCATTTTACATGCATCTGAAATGAGCACCCCCAAATCCTTTTTCTTCTGTAGTTCTAGCTAACACTGTGCCCCCAATGTGATCAGCAAAGACACTGCGCTTATAAATAAAGTGGTTAGTAAATGACTAACAGTGTTGCTATGTAGAAGTACTAAGAATTAAAATAAGTTCCCAAATATTACTAAACACACGGAGGAGAATTTATCAAAACTGGAGCATACTGAACCTGGAGCAGCTGTGCATGTCAACCCATCAGATTCTCCTTCAGATTGTTCAGTTAAGCTTTGAAAATGAAAGAGAGAATCTAGTTGTCGTGCACAGCTGCTCCAGAATATGTCTGCTCCAGTTTTGATCAATTCCTCTTACAATGTTTAACAATAACAGTGATAAAGTATCAATTGTGAACCTTGATCTTAAATGCAATCAGGGAAAAGTCCTCCAACACTATATAGTGTAGTCAATGGTTAAACCCAATCCCAAATCTATGGAAGAATCAAATTATGTCCCACATCCGCCAAGAAACTGTCTCCACAGCACACCACACGGCTGTGTTGAAACTGTGTGAATTCACAGTCACCAGATATAGATGGCCATCATATTATAGATGAGCCATAAGCGTTTACACTCTGCTCTATCCACCAGGAATCATCCTCCAGAAACTAAGTTCCAGCACAGCCCTTCAGTTGTACGGCATCAGACAAACTCCTCCCTTTTATAAGTCCGTGGATGAAGATCCTACGTCTGGAGTTTATTTCCATCAATCTCCTTTTCTGAACTTCATAGCTCAAATAAACCTATTATGATAAGCCATAGTGTAGTATATTAAAACATTAATAACACACTTACAGATTACAGGAATAGAAAACGCCAAAATAATCCTCTGAAACACTCGTGCTGGTATGCTTCGCCCACCTGATGCATTCCGTCACATCCTGACTCGCGAAGGGCTAGCATGCACGCTATGCACTTTTTTTCTGCTTTTGTGCATCATTGTGCACTTTTTCTGATAGTCGTTTTCTGTTTGTTGTCAGGCCCATTACAGAGGACAGAAGCAGAGGAAGGCATTCAGAGATCGCAAGGCGTATCTGAACAATCACAGTGATGAAGTTGTTAAGGTATTGGAATGTTTGTATAGCTGGTGATGCTAGTTGTGTATGTGATGTATTGAGCTATGTGCCCTGGACTTATTAGTAACATTTACAAGATAGAAATGTTGACGTTTTCAATTGTATTCTAGATTCAGTCCTACACAAGAATGTATCAGGCCAGGAAGCGCTACAGAGATAGACTAAAGTACTTCAGAGACCACGTAAGAGCCTTCACCTGTTCTTTATATCTTGTGTACTATGTTATGAACAGCACATAGCTAAAAGACGACTCTCTTGCCTGCAGATTGATGATATTGTAAAAATCCAAGCCTTCATCCGAGCTAACAAAGCACGAGATGACTACAAAACCTTGAGTGAGTACAGTGCACTTAAGTTTTCTGTGTAGGTGAAGTGTTGATTCAAGCTTTTCCAAATGAATGCATGAACTGTGCTTCGTTTGGGTGTATGTTTTACAACTTTTTCGATTTTCCATTTAATAAGACTCTCGCATCTCTCTGAAATCATAGCCTACTCTTAGATTCAAATAAGGAGATTTAGCAGCCACATGATCCATCCTTTATCTCTGGTGATGAGAAATCACATGACCTGTGTACTCGATTTTGTGTAACAGTTCACCAGTTGAAGTTTGGGATTCAAGTTCGAAAACCATTTGGCTGCAGTAGAATTTAGTGAAACAAGCATAATGGTGGTATATTGAAACTATAGCCTACGTTAAAATGACCATTTCTTGTGTGAACTGTGAAACAGGCCACACACACCCACATTACCATCTCCTTATGATCGATCAAGAACTAGTGTGAGATAGTCTATCTAAACGATCCATTCAGTTTATATTCATTCAACCGTCATACTGCAAAGTTTTTGGTGAATCTAAAAGTGATTGTACGATAGTAATTTGTAAGGAATGTGACTATCTTAAAGGAGAACTTTAATTCTTAAAGGAGTGCTTTTCATTCATCTTCATAGTTCTAGCCGACCTGTGACAATGAGACTGTCACAGGTCGGCTCAGTTGATTGGGAAGTGAGCGAACACATACCGGCGTTCGCTCACTTCTCGACAGGGGAGGGATTGGATTCCCCACTCCGATCCTCCAGCGCTGACTGGCGGAACGGACGGGGGAGGGGGCGGGTGCAGCTGGCTCTGCCTCTAGATAGACAGAGCCAGCTGTCACTCACGCAGCTGGGCGGATCCAGACATAATTGTCTGGATCCGTTTCAGCTGCGTCGTCTCAGTATACCGAGAGCTGTAGCTCGCAGTATACTGAGCTTAGGGTGACGGGAGGACGCTAGTTTTTGTCCTCCCGTTACCCTTAGGAGAATTATGGGGAAAAGCCCTAACCACATAGTTCTCCTTTAATATTTTGGAAGTGTTAGTGATTTTAAACTGAGCAAATTAGATGTAAATTTTTTACCCGTTTCTCCTCCCCCATTTTTCTTTTTTTCTTGATTGCTTTGGCTTTCTCTGTCTCGCCACTTTTTCTTGCTTTTGCTGATGTGTCCTATTCTCTTTTCTCTTTAATCCTGTTTTTCTTTCTCCCTTGCTAAAGTACAAAGCCAGTGTGTTTTCTCCCCTATGATGTGAGGTGTGCTTTTTAAACTTGGTACATTTCTGCCCATAGTCAATGCCGAAAACCCACCCATGGCAGTAGTCCGTAAATTTGTCCATCTTCTGGACCAAAGTGACCAGGATTTCCAGGAGGAGCTCGAAGTCATGAAGCTGAGGGAGGAAGTAGTGACCCTATTGAGATCCAACCAGCAGCTAGAAAATGATCTTAATCTCATGGACATCAAGATTGGGCTTCTTGTAAAAAACAAAATTACATTACAGGTAAGATTTCTAGGAGCTTACCTACAAGTGGAAAGAGGAAAATCAGAACCTCACTAGAGGGGTTTTGGTTCTTCATTATCTAATTAGAGAACTGGGAGTAGGTAATTGACCAAGCTGTATTGCTTCAAAACTGAACTCTAGAAGCTGTGCCCAAAAAAAGCCAGGCAGAGGGCAAAGGATTAGTCACCGGTTTTGTATGTGGTCGCCCTGCAGCTGATCTTTTCTCCATTACTGACGAACCATGCCTTCTTCTGCATTGTATGTCTTTATGGAGGCCATCAGGCTAGAGATAGGACTTTGCTTCCTCATGTCAAAGCCATCAGCAATAGTGCATAGTACAGTAGTAACCTCACCATAATCTCACTCCAAATCTGCTGAGACTAGCAGTTAGAGGCAGAAGTGCCTTAGATAATCTCATGCTGCAGATATGCAGCTATTACACTGTATTTATTGAAGTGCAAACTCACATGTTAGGAAGTGCACTGCTATTTTTTATAAGGAATTCAAGACAAAGTCCTTAGGAACATTCAACATTTCTACTTCCATATAATAGCACTTTTTGAGTACAGCTCCATGCAAGTGAAGAAAATGATGTCCGCAAACTAGCTATGCTTCCCTGGGGCACAAGATTGGCATGCCAGAGTTACAAATTATTTGGCAGATAAACTCATTCACATTATTGTAATTGCATATTCAACAGTTTTCCCTGAAGTTCAGTTTCCTGTAGCATCTAATGATTCTTTAAAAATAGTTTGTCTCATTGCAAACCCGTGGGTCTGAGCTCAAACTTAGGTTGACCATATTCTAGCTGATCAATGCATTCCAATTTATCTTGCAAACATCAATCTATGCAGAGCTGAACAGGTTATTGAAAATAGTACACATAAATAATGAAAGCACTTGTCATTGAGCACTGAGAACTTTCTCTGCCTGTAGGAATATACCTTTCTCTGTACCATGTTACAATATATGGTAGGTTGGACAGAAAGGTTACAGCGGGTCCTTGTTTTGTACCATTTTAATGTCGAAATAGCAGATCTTTCACTGGTAGCCGTGCTGGGAAATCTACCTATTTGTGGTCACTCCATATTTAAAATACTGTCTGTTCTTGTTTGCAGGATGTTGTCTCCCATAGTAAGAAGTTGACTAAGAAGAACAAGGAGCAGCTCTCTGATATGATGGCATTAAACAAGCAGAAGGGAGGCTTAAAGGCACTAAGCAAAGAGAAGCGAGAGAAGCTGGAAGCTTACCAGCATCTCTTCTATTTACTGCAGGTAAAGGAATGATGAACGGCACTCTGTGCTGTCTGGTTGTGAGATGATCTTACATATTTCTTATTTTGACATCTAAACCGGTCTATCATTAATTACATGATACTATACTACTCCAATATCACTAAATACCTTAGTAGAAGTCCTAATAACTCAAGGCTAATGAAAGTGGGCTTTTTCTACTGGTCACGGTGCATTGTTGTATCATATTAAAAAAGGGTTCATTATACAGGAACTCCCATTCACTTAGAAAACCTGATAATCAACTTTTTTGCACTTTTGTTATTAAAGAGAGCACAATGCGGTATCCACTTGTACAGTTAATTTAATGTTGCATCTTTTCGTTCAATTCCAAAATGTTCTTTTTCTGCAGACTAATCCAACCTACTTGGCAAAACTGATTTTCCAAATGCCCCAAAACAAGTCTACCAAGTTCATGGACTCTGTTATATTTACTCTCTATAATTATGCATCCAATCAAAGAGAAGAATACCTACTCTTGCGCCTCTTCAAGACCGCCCTCCAGGAGGAGATCAAGTAGGTGTTTTCTGTTAAGTGCATCTGAAATTGGGAGGGAATAGATTTTCTTCCTGAATTTGGCTTACGTGTATAAACCATTGCTGGCCTATCAGTTTCTTTGTGTTGACTAAACCATTCTGTAAAGTATGATGCTGCATTTTTATTAGGAGTTTAAATCACAGGAATTGCTCATAACGTAAAGATTATCGAATTAGTTTAAAATAAACAATGGCTATAAACATTAGTTACATTAAATACAGTACTTACTATACATATTCCATATTTACTAATGGTTGGAAAGGTGATGAGATTTATAGCATGTACAAATAATATATAGATGTTCCACAAAACAATTAAAATGTATGACCATCCCTGAAAAGAGAATACCCAATGTGTCTTTTTACACAGATCTAAAGTGGACATGATTCAAGAAATAGTCACAGGAAACCCCACTGTAATCAAGATGGTGGTAAGTTTTAACCGAGGGGCTCGTGGACAGAATGCTTTGAGGCAAATCCTGTCACCGGTAGTGAAGGAGATCATGGATGACAAGTCGCTTAACATCAAAACTGACCCTGTGGACATTTACAAGTCATGGGTCAACCAGATGGAATCTCAGACTGGAGAAGCCAGGTGAGAGCCTTCACAGTGCATGTAACACCATATTATCTGATATTTCAATCAAGAAAAGCTATTCATTTATTATTGGAGTTTGTCCACAAACTTCCATACAAAGCAAACAGCTGTGTGAGAAGATTGTGATGGAACTGATCAGAGTTGTATGTCATATATTAATACTGATGCAATGTAGTCAGTGTCTCAAAACTAGCATGTGATGCGTACATTGGTGAAGGAGGGAAATTCTTCTTTATGACAGTCTCTATATTAATAAGGTTTTCCAGAAACCCATAGCATTCAATCAAAAAGCTATGTATCACTGTCTACAAAAAAAACTCCAAGAAGCCTTTTCCTGAATGTCTCATCTGAGTTACAGCATATCCTCCCCCTTTGAATAAGATCATTAAAGTGTTTGTATAGCCAAGACTTTTTTTTTTTTTTGATAGAGTAAGGAAACGTTAATACACTGTGAGAGTATTAATATCTCTGTGTCCTGTAGGGGAGATTTTACTTCCTGTTCTGGAGACATAGTAAAGGAAATCTTTACAACGTGTGGCGAGTTTTCACTGATATAGGTGTCTCCATTGAAAGGAAAAAAGTTTCCGCTATATACACACTTTTAATTTGTTTGTAGTTTGAAGTGGGTATGTCTAGAACAAACTGGGATCATTTTAAGATGCGTGTGCTGCTGTTGTATAAGACTGTATTTAATGATGAAGCAGCATGATAAATGAGTACATGAGTCATAGAAATGAGTCCGCTAGGGAAAGGATGAAAGTTGCAGAACTGCTTTCTCTTCAATTGGTTTTAGATTGTGTTGTAAAATTCTTCTTTCCATTAAAATTAACCACATCCAGCTGGTTTTACCATTGACATAATTAGAATAGATTATCTAACACAAAGTTACTTTACCATCCAGCAAACTGCCATATGATGTTACACCAGAGCAAGCAATGTCACATGAGGAGGTCAGGACCAGACTGGATTCTTCCATCAAAAACATGCGCGCAGTGACTGACAAGTTCCTGTCTGCCATTGTCAGCTCAGTTGATAAGATCCCGTAAGTATGCTTGCTGGTCATTTGTTAAACAAAGCAAAACAATATTGTACTATTAGCCAGAAATAAAGACATGGGTAGAAAAGGTCTGAATTATTGTCAAAGTGATAACTTTGAAAGTTTAACTGAGATATTAAACCTTCAGCACACCAGATTCCCCTCTGTGAGTAGATTGACAGATGGATTGGCAGAACAGAAAATGTAACTCAATGTGACTATCCCTTATTTACATTTACTGATTTGTAGTACATCAATAAATCACTTATAACTTGAACAATATTAGGTTATAATATTCCAGTTACAAGACGTTTGTAATGATCTAGTTATGGTCAAAATCACCAAAAGTGTCTAAATTAAGACCTAGCTGTGTTGTCCATGAAAAGCAGCCCACATTAGGTTAGACACAGTGCACTCTCTATTTTAGAGGTCCTGTAATCTTTACTTAAAGGCCAATGTTCTTACATAATTTTCATTATATTTGCCTCCCAGTTATGGCATGCGTTACATTGCCAAGGTCCTGAAGGATACACTTCATGAGAAGTTTCCTGATGCTGGAGAAGATGAGCTGGTCAAGGTCAGTCTTTTAAACCACCGATTCTAATAAATGGTCTTTTCTTATGATAATGTTTATGCTACCCTCAATTTGCCCTTTATTTCTGACTTGTAACTGAAGAATGTCCAAAAGAAGTAAACCGCACTCCAAGGTCCAATGTGTTGAACGCCTCTTTTATTAAGACGTTATACAGACATGGTGGCACAGTGTAAAAGCACTGTGCTTTCCTGATAAAGGGACAATGTTGGGTCCCGAAAAGATGCTTTTATAATGTATAACGTCTAAATAAAAGAGGCGTTCAACACATTGGACCTTGGAGTGAGGGTGACTTCTTTAGGACATTTCTGTGATAACGCGGCGCCATCCGCTGGTCATACCAGCTCCCATCTATCTTATGGGATTCCGGTCAGGAGTGCTGTGGATTACACATTACTGTAACTGAAGAATAACTCCACTATTTTCCTCTAGTTCTCATACAAGAGTAGCAAAACACAAGCCTATGAAATATGTTATCGCTTACACCCTCCTCTCCTTTTCACACACGCATTTCGTAATTTTGTAAATTTTCCATTAATGTTGGCTACATATAACATTGCACAGACTGTTTTATAGTTTAGTGAACCTACCACCAACAGTGTCTTATTAAAACCATAAAACAAAGGAAACTGTTGGGATAGGTCGCCTCATTACTACTATTACTGGTGCTGTGTGATGATGGAGGGTATAAGTCACAGGGAACAAAGCTTTAAGAGGGAATATCCCATCAAGGTAAAATATACTTTTTCTGAAGTGTCAGAGTCAAATTTTAGTCGATTTTGGAGCAGCTAGAAACTGTTTATGCAATTTCCCAAAAATGCACACTAGAGAACTTCAAAAATTGTTAGCTTCTTTGCATCCCAAAATGTAATAGTTATTTTATGAAATTACTGAATATATAATTATGCAGTCATGAATTGTCTCCTATCCACTCATCTAGTCTTTGCACTGTAGTAAGAGATTCAAAATGGTAGCTGTTTGATTAGTTTCAAACTATCCTGGGAAGGGTGACTTACTAAGCCAACAATACATTACAACATTTTCCAACACACAGCCTTACTAGTCAGCATAGCCCAAAGGCTAGGTGCCTGGGAATGTTGTATAGTGCCTACAGCGAGAGAGCTCAGCATCTGAGTTTCCAAGTAGGCAAAGCTGTTGATGAGAAATGGAGGACATGCTCCATGTTATTGATGCATTGTCGCCAGTGGTTATATTGTACAGTGTATTCTGGCTCACAGGGAATGCCTGACATATATTATCAGAAATCTTCTCCATCGTGTAATAAGACTGACAGGGTTATTCACAAAAAGGTGAAGAGTTTGGAGAAGGCAGGAGAAGTGAACAATCGAGGACAGCATAGCTGAACTGGAGAGTGAGCTGAATTGGAGAATTGTTCCAAATCCGCCATGTTGTCCTTGATTGTTCACTTCCCCTGCCTTCTCCAAACTCTTCACCGTTTTGTGAATAATCCTGGGAATCTCTTCTTTTTCCTTTCCATTTTCTGTTGTGTAGAGCCCTCTGCTGGTCACACAGGATTCAGCTGCTGTAGATCTAGTGCTTTATTTCCATACTGTGCTTCAGGCTATGTACTCATGACGTTCAAGCTAAGTGTTTATCATGTGTCTAACAGCTAATCTGTGACACAGTGCTCACAAGCATCTTGTGGATGTGATTGTGTTGCATTTGCCAGGTTGATGCACATGCTGCTTGTAGTATTTTATGGTCATCAGCATCTCTTAAATGCTTGAAACAGCCATAAATGTCCCTCCTGAGACTGCTGGAAGAGTCTGGTGTTTGAGAAGCTGGTCATACACTTTCAGAATTTCAGACTACTCTTGTGAAATGTTAACATTTGGCAGGGCTACCTACTTGACAAAAAGTTGATTTGACTTTTCTTGAAGGAGCCGGGCCAAAAATTGTCAACCAAACAGTGACTGCAGCCAGTCAGCTGAAGTCACTGTCTGGATATTTGGGCAGCTGGAGGCATCGGCTGTCAGAATACAATAACCCGGTATCCATGCTGAATAAGAAAAAAACACAATGTATGGCCAACTTTAGACTGCTTCCTACTGCCCACAATCCTTCACTCAAAAGAAGGTGTAGTGTGTATTGACTTGTGTATCAATTAGTCATTTTGTGGTGCCTAAAGGGATACAAGTGCTCTGGAGAGGCTTTAAGCAGTTACTGAACACCTGCGGAACACCGTAGGCATGGAACAAGCATTTAACAGACCTTGAACATCCAGGAGTACTCGGCCTTATTCTTGACATGCTGGGTTTTTTTCTGCCATCTGCTCTGTATCTGAAAGCTGCTCTCTTTTCTGTTCTTCTAGCTCTGCTTCTCTGCACTGAGGCATCAGTAATATTCTAGCTCTGAAGGTGATTTTTTTTTTTTTTTCTTGATCTGATATTCTGTAACATTGGCAGAAATACCATAAAAATTTCTTCAACAATCATCAAACAGTTCTGTATATGTATTTCATATTCTTACACAAGAAAATCCAACCATTGACCCACCATACTAAAAGGCGTGGTTGGTATAAGCAGTACATGAAGTTTCCTACCTCTAGGTCATGTGACCAGTAACACAATATGGGTTTTTCATAAGGGTGTCTTCCCAAACCGCCTTTAATGGCATAAATACACATAGCTACCAAAAGTACAACAGCTGGTTCTGTGTTTCTTCCAGTGTGCTTCAATGACAACAAAATGCTGTATATCTAACAATCGTTTTGTTTCTTGGGTATAGATTGTGGGAAACCTGTTGTATTATCGCTACATGAACCCAGCTATTGTGGCCCCTGATGCCTTTGATATTATTGATATATCTGCTGGTGGTCAGCTCACCACAGATCAGCGCCGAAACCTGGGCTCCATTGCCAAGATGCTTCAACATGCTGCGTCCAACAAGATGTTTTTAGGAGACAATGCCCATCTGAGCATCATCAATGAGTATCTCTCTCAGTCCTATCAGAAATTCAGGTAACTCAAGATGATATCTAGACAGTCATTTGTATCTTAAAATAGGAGTTTTACCTCCTACCTAGCAGTGGTTGGTTACATTCAGCTGGACTAGTTCTGTAAGGTTGAAGACGTTTCACCACTCATCCAAGTGGCTTCTTTAGTTCTAACGGGTATAAAGAACATACCGTAACATTTATGGCCATATGGAAAATTCCGTCACTATGGTGTCATGTAATGTTCTTTGTCACATTACATGTATACTCCAGAGCAAACCAGCACTATGGAGTGTTCAGACTGGGGGAATTAAAAGGAAGCATAGTACACACAAAGAAATAGGGTACTGCCTATAAGAATTGCCCCCACCACAATTATAAATGTAATATACAACATGCTTTATTGGCATCAACACCATATAGATGTAAAGCAACTCCCAGAAAGCCCCCCATAAAGGTTAAAATAGTTAACAGCACTCAACTCCAGCAACCCCTCCCCCCAGTAAATAGCCATACACCAGGCCCTATAAAATTATATCAACACCAGGGAACCCAAATTGATCCCCCAGGGCTTGGAGCATTTTTTTCTGACTGGATCGGAACGTAGGCACTGATGTGCCACGGGTTCTGGTGCGGGCGATCGCACTGAGGCCAGAAGGCGTGGCTGTGGTGAAATTGACTTCAATGCACCTTTCCTCCCCAAAACAGAGAGGCGGCCGGAATGCGATCCAGTGCGTTCCAGCACAGATATTGTTTTATTAGAATCACCTATACAGTAATGGAAGTTAATTGTAAAGAAATGTTACAATGACACATACCATGCTCTTTTAAATGATCTTTCAGTATCGTTTAATCTGTTTGCCAAATGCTTTCTTGTAAGTTTGATTTGTACTTGCCCACAGACGGTTTTTCCAATCTGCCTGTGAAGTTCCAGAGCTGGAGGATAAGTTTAATGTGGATGAATATTCTGATCTGGTCACCCTTACTAAGCCAGTTATTTATATTTCTATTGGAGAGATTGTTAATACACACACGGTAAGTCCCTGGAAAACTCTTTATTGAGCTGATGAAAGTGGCAGGGCCGCCTGCTCATTTAAAGGAAAACTGAGTGATGTACTTAAAGGAATATATCCATAGCCACTGCTGACCTCACCTGAAGATGCTATCTGACTGGCTGTTAAACTACTTAGTATGACATCAGTGTATCGGCCATTGACCTGGAACAATTCCGCAGATAAGGAGGTTTTTACTTTATTGCTGTATTTTTGTTCCAGGTCAATGCCTGCCTCATAAACTAACTACTAACATTTTCAGAAGTAAAATGTTAGTAGTTAGTAACTTCTGTTTTTCTCCCAGTGCATGTTACCTTTAAATGTATCTAAACACAAAAATCAATGTAATATATTGCAGTTACTAATCCTTAAATGTGTTGGCTGCATTCATTTTCTTTTTAGCCTTTTTTTCATGTGGTAATTCGGCCAATAACACACTTCATGTCTTAGGGTGGCTCCACTCTATGGAGGAGCAGCAGAGCCAACCTTGGACAGCTGCATTGCCACCATGGGGAGAGGGCAGTGTTAAGGTGCCCACACACCTAGCGATAATCGTAGGATAATCGCTGGAAATCCCGCGATCGTACGATTATCGCAAGGTGTGTGGAAGGCGTGCGACCTCTGCTACTGTAAGGTCGCACGACTTTTATCTTAGGAACATGTTCGAAAACCAGCCGAACATCGTACGATTTTCGGCTGGTTTGTGGTATGTTCGCAAGATAATAGCCGCACGGGCCGGTGTGCGCAAGCACACACTGCCCGTTTTTAACATTGCGGTCATCGGAAGCCCGCCCCTTTTTAATTACCTTACAACCATCGCAAGACAAAAGTCTTGCGATGGTTCTAAGGTGTGTGCCCAGCATTAGATGGACTAGCAGATTTGGATGAACCTTGCTAATAAATACGCATTTACAGCAAAAGTTTATTTTTTATTTTTGGGATAAAGATGTTACATAAATGATTAAAAGCTGACCATTGGGATCACCCCGTCCAGTGTTAAATCGTTTGTCTCAACCCTCTATCTGCCACTTTTGCTGCACAGCATGTTCTGTTAGAGGAAGATGAAAAATAACAGAGTTACTGACCGGATTACCAGGTGAAAATCTAAGAAATATAGAACTAATAGAGTCATCACATCTAAGACTTGGCAGGCTGCAATATGTTACATTTTTGCTTTTGGGTTTAGATATGGTTTAAAGATGATGGTGGAGTTTTGAATGCTGCCATAGAAACAATTAGCAGTGCTTAGTTGCTGTAAAAAAGTCCATGTTTTGGCTGTGTGGTGGTTTTTCATGTCAGTAGCTCAGTCTTGGCTGTGTAGCTGTTTGTATATTTGTCTCACTGGCACACTGTTCAAAGCTGTTCTGATTCCATAGTGCAGAAAGGAATACAAACAGCTTAGTTGGGGTGGTATAATTAAGTCACTGCTTTTATTATCAGGACAGTAATACAACTTGCACACATTCATTTTGAAAATAGACATTTTCTTCATATATGCTAGTAAAAATATTGTAGTATCCTAGCACTGACACCATGGGGTTGATTTACTAAAGAGAAATAGACTGTCCACTTTGCTAGGGAATGATCCCTTAGTTTAGTCAAAATTCACTTTGCTAAGAATACCCAATCATGTGCCAGGACAATTCATAAAAAACAGTAATTTTCCTTGCACATGATTGGATGATGGAAGTCAGTAGAAGGTCACCGCATTTACTAAGCTAAGGGAATATTCCCTTGCAAAGTGAACAGCCTATTTGACTTTAGTAAATCAACCCCTTTATGTCTGTTGTGGAGGTACAGCACCCTTGTCCAGTTAGAGTTCCCCCAAATCTACATTAAAGTGACACTAAGCTGAGGGGTTAAATCTTAAAAATACTTAACTATGAACAAAAATGTATCTTATTTGTGTATCACTCGGCTGTGGATCCTCAAATCATCTCTGAATTGGTGCCGACACTGTCCTTCCTTCTGGAGGGTGGCTACTATTGTTCCCCATGGTCACTGTGTGTATTGTAAAGTATTCACTGCTCCAAGCTCACTCATGTGATGGACTACAATCTAACCTTTAGTGTAGTAATTTGTATTGAGATTGTAGTCCATAACAGGAGTGAGCTTGGAGCGGTGACTACTTTACAACACACACAGGGACCATGGGGAACAAAAGTAGCCACCCTGCAGAAGGAAGGACAGTGTCAGCACCACTTCGGAGATAATTTGAGGATCTACAGCCGAGTGATACACAAATAACTCATAGTAAAGGTACTTGCATTTTTAAGGTTTAATGCCTGAGTTTACTGTCATTTTAATATAGAGGATTTGCAACTATACAATTAAACAGTATAGACATGAACTATCACTTTGAAGTAGCAGTATGTACTGTGTTTTTAAAACAATCCCACATCTGGTCTGTGTTTAAATTAAATTAACCTTTTTATTGCCAGTTATAAAACATTTCCTCTGGCTATTCATATTTTGACATGTGGTGTATTTTGTCCAGGAGGATGTTCTGTGAGGATGCTTTTTTATTTATTCATTTTAACACTCATTTTTTTAAATAATGTTTTTTTTATTACAGCTCCTTCTAGACCATCAGGATGCAATAGCACCAGAACACAATGACCCGATCCATGAGCTGTTGGATGATCTTGGGGAGGTGCCTACAATTGAGTCTCTCATAGGTGAGACGTTTGCTTTACCCTCGAGCATAATTTTGCTATAATCTTGTTATAAGAAAAAAGTACACATTTTAAAATACAGATACTGATACCGGAAGTCCAATCAGTAATTTAGAGAGCAAGTGAGATGTCAAATTATAGGACCTTTTAAAAATGGAGCAAAGTAACACTGATCATAATAACCCTGCGTATTGATTTTATTTTACCTTTTCTTCCCCAGGTGAAGGGCCAGGAGCTGGAGCAGATGCCAACAAGGAGGCACTAGGAAAGACTGAGGTGTCTCTAACTCTAACCAACAAGTTTGAAGTTATAGGGGATGAGGACGCAGAGAAGAATGCAAGGACTATTCTGTTAAAGTGAGACTTTTAAGTGATTTTTATCATGTAATAGATGCCTTAGAAGTCTTTCTGTAGAACCCATCAGTGTTATACACACTACCACCACTACTTATTCTACACAGTTGAGTATCAAGGAATAAATAATCTGGAATAGCATGGTATTAGAGTCTATGAACTGTGAGAAAACATCTATATATATGGAAAATATTACTATACATACAAAATATTAATTAGGATCTCTTTTTACCTCAAGTACAAAACGCTTGATTGTTGATGTCATTCGGTTCCAACCTGGGGAAACTTTGACAGAAATCCTGGAAACGCCAGCAACCAAAGAACAGGTAAACAGTCTACCCAATTCATTGGCAGTCTGTATGATAAAACATAGTGGTACTATATAGTCAAGAACTGCACAGTGTCCACACTTACAAAGCAGATAACACGGAAGGAAGGTGAGGAACAGCAAGTTTAGTCCCAAAAATGATTTATTCACATAAAAAATTAAACAGGAACCTAGCTGTCATACATACGTTGTCATTTTGTGTGAAAATGACCTTTGTGTAGTATAAATTGCCGTATTCTTCCAACCCCTTGCTGCTGCACTTTTGCAATGTATTGTGCATTTCTGGAGTCTTTTTTTAGAGAGAGCATTTCAAGTTCAGAAGTAACATATGTATGTAGTCACCTTCCAGAAACTCTTTGTGGTGTGAAAGAAGGCACATGTAAAAGAATGTGTGCAGGACTTGGTGTGTTGCATAGTATATTGGACATCCTAAAGCCAATAACAGCCAGAGTTTAGAAGGTAGTTAAAACAGGGGTCTCAAACTCAAATGGGCCACTGGACACATTTTCCTCTTTCATGGGGGCCACCTGCAAAATTTCAAAATCGAACTATGTACAGTACTAGATAGTGCTTGTTACCAGTCACTGCTTACTGCCAGATGCTTGGCAGTGTTTGCTCTGAGTTTGATGATCCAATTCTGCCTTAAGTGTTTAGCAGTTGAGATCCAAGCAACAGCCTGGAGATCGGTTAGCCTAGACCTGGTTTTAGATTTGTTAAAGTCATAGTTGACAGTCATTTTTCACACAGATATGTACTTTCAAATAAGAGCAAGGAGAGACAGACAGTAGGATGAGTCAGGGAAGAGAGTGAGGAGAGATAGTCAGGAGAGAGAGAGTGGGGAGAAACAGCCAGGGTACAGAGTGAGGAGAGACAGCTAAGCGAGAGAACAAGGTAAGATTGAGAAGAGAGAGCGAGAAGAGACAGCCAGGAGAGAGAGCGAGGAGCGACCGCCAGGAGAGTGTGCCCTTTTGCCCTGCGGTAAAGGCGGCTTTGATCGGTTTGCCTTTCTGCTGGCCAAAAGTAACTAGTCCGTGGCCTGCAACTTTGAGACCCCTGGATTATGATGGCACCATGGCATATGATGCAATAAGTCAAAGCATGGACTGCTGGTGTCAGGGTACCATGTACAGGCGTCCTCACACCTCATGCAGGTACCCACGCAGGATGACCAAATTAATATGCCCACACAGGATAGGGTTCTATGCACAGTTTATTTGTTACCATCAAACAAAACTACTAAACACCAACCCCCCACAGGTTTAGCAGTGAAGTAACAAGGAGGGTTAACAGGAGGGCAGCACAGTACAGGATTTAGGAAGAATGGTCAGGTACAAGCCAGGTCGTTAACAGGAGGGCAGCACGGTACAGAAACAGGATCCAAGAAGAGTGGTCGGGTAACAAGCCGGGTCGGTGACAGGTCTGCAGCTAGGAAGCTGGGTTCAGGAAGCAGTCAAGTGCAGGCGACGCAAATACTGAGCCAGCTCCTGACTGCAGTTAGGGCCTAAATACCCTCCCAGGAAGCACCAGGTGATGGGATGATCCGTCACAGCTGGGGCACACCCGCAGGTGAGTACTGGAGCTGCAGGTTCCTTACAGTCCCTGGCTGCTGGACACCCGCAGGCGAGCACAGGAACTGCAGGACCTGGCTCCAGCACCACCTGGGGGTGCTCTGGATCCTGACAGCTGGCAACATTTGCAAACTAGTGGGCTAACTTCTGTGTAAAATAATGTAGATTATTTAAACAGCATTATTCATTTGGAGTTTTTATGTTCCAGTTTGTTTGTGTTGTCCAAGTTCCTAAATCTGAATGATTGGTATGTACCTTGTTAGGATGCCCATAGACCTTAGATGCCAGTCTCCTCATCCAGCCATTTTTGGTATTGTCTGTTATTTTACTGTTATGTTACCCCTGAAAATCAAGTGCCGTTAGTGTCTGCAGCACATCTCTGCCACCTCTGGATAGATTATTACAAATGGATAGGGAAGTTCAATGAGATTTAATTAGCTAAGGGTGGTTGGATTGTGGTTGCATGTCTGCCCACCTTCATCTTCAGGGTAGCCTTTCGCCTCAGGCTTCTTCTGTGCAAAGAATCAAAGTCCAGTGATAGGCTCATTCACACGCTTGCATATCTTTTTGTGTATATGATAATTCAATTTTAATGGCACCCAGTGCTTATACATAGAGTAAATAAATGTACTTGCCCCTTTTTTTCAGTGCACCGCAAGGTAAAGCATGTGTTCTTCCTTGTGGGGCTTTTATTTACTTCTGCCTGTGGACGTGCATTGAGGGCCCATTGAAGATGAATCAGCAATTCACTGGGAGCGTCATTGCACAAAAATGCACATGTCACCATAAGCAGAAGTGTGAATAGACTCTTAATGATTCTTCTTAACTTTTTTAACACCTTAAGATCCAGTGTTTGTCCTATAGGATTGGACCATTTGACAAAAAGCTCACTTGGCATGTTTTCAATTTTCCAGGAAACAGACCATCAGAGAGCCATGCAGAGGCGAGCAATTCGGGATGCAAAGACTCCAGATAAAATGAAAAAGGCCACATCTCTACGACAAGACAACAATCTAACACTGCAAGAGAAAAAGGAAAAGATAAAAGCTGGCCTCAAGAAGCTATCAGACCTTGGAATGGTGAATCCAGAAAGCCGGTACCAGGATCTCATTAATGACATTGCCAAGGTAAAATATGGTTATGTCAAGCTAAAAGGCCTGCCCCCTGGCCTCTTAGGCTCCAGTGCTGGAAGGGTCCCATCAAAGATACCTGTCTTACTCTTATTTTTAAATCAATAATAGAGACAGAGTTTATACACTTACTGATATCACATCTACACTGAATCACGAGCAAAGTTTGCTTCATCATAGGCCCAAACATCAGTGTGGATGTTACATGATAAAGGGCATCCCTGAATCTGATCATGAAGCCTTCATGTGTTCCTATTTGGTTGTGAGATGTCTGATCCATGAAATTTACAAATACGGTGGCTGTGCTAGTAAATTAGTTAACCGTAAAGGCTAATAATATACTTTTAGAGCAATTAGAGGGAATGTACAGTGTGAGAAACACTATATGTTGGTGTAAGGCACCTGATTCAGAAGCTGAACCAGAGATGTATGTATTTAAAAGAAAACTTTATCAAACAAAAATGCTACAAAGAAGTCTGTCCTGAAATGTAGAGATGCTTATTGTGTTTTCTGCTTCAGGACATTCGTAATCAAAGGCGATATCGGCAGAGAAGAAAGGCTGAACTGATGAAGCTCCAGCAGACTCATTCTGCTCTCAGCTCAAAGGCTGTGTTTTATGAAGAGCAAGTAGACTATTACAAGAGTTACATCAAGACTTGCCTGGACAACCTAGCAAGCAAGGGCAAGTAAGTACTAAAAATACTAATTCTGTGGTTTGGATGAGCTTGGTTTGATGTCATTTTGCTTTTAACACAAAAAATGAACTTTAGGCTGATATAAAAGACACAAATTAATACAGCTCTGTAATCAATAATACATCCCTAAATTAATTTTTTTCAAATGCAAGCTGTGTAAGTACCTGAATTTGACCTGGTATCAGCCTCTTGCAGTCCCTGTACAGCAGGGCTGCGGTGTGAGAGGAAGCCTATTAGTTAATGGGCTGACAAGGAAGAGAGTAAAGTGATAGAGAGATGAGCTGAATGATGCTAACAGTCAGACTTAGGAAGACAGTTCTGCAGTGGATATTCCTGGATTTGAAGATCGATATTGTGACAAAAGCTGGTTTTGTTACTTCATCTTTTAATGAACTGTTCATTTTTACCTTGGCTGGAGTTTGTCTTTAAAACAGTGTTGTTCAGTTTCCCAAAGCAAGCAATTAGATATTATCAGTTTAGAGTCTTCAAAGCATTATCAGGTGATTTTAAGGTGATTGTCATTGACTTATGTAGATTTTATCCCTTTTTAAATATTGGACATAATATATAAAAACGCATTGCTATCTGTTGTCATTTACATCAAAGATTACTTTACAATGGAAACATTCACTTTATTTCTTAAATTCAGAGTGTCCAAGAAACCAGGTGGGATGAAGAAGAGCAAGAAGATATCTCTTAAATACACAGCAGCCCGGCTCCATGAGAAAGGTGTGCTGCTAGAGATTGAGGATCTACAAGGGAACCAGTAAGTGTTAATGTGTTTTAACCTGTGGATGAGTGGCTGCACACAACACTGTGCCCCTCAGTCAAAGGTATTCCGCTGCAAAATGCTAGATGTGCACACTGAAGCCCACTGCATGCTGCTAAACCAAATCTTTGCTGGGTGAAAAAATTCCCTTTAGTCTTTTATTGGCCCAAAAAGCTAGAATAGGTTAATTTGCAGAGTACAGTCCATGAAGAAGTGGTCGGCCTGACTTTAGGCTGAGAGTTGCACTGGTATTTTCATGATGAGGCATCCCTCATACATACTTATGTCAGTCTACATCTATGTCCCTTTTGTTATCCATCTTCTTCCTTCTTCTCTACCTTAGATTGTACCCTATCCCTTACCTGACATCACTTACTCCACTCACAAAAGGGGAAAAAAAGCATTTATTAGAGATTAACGAAGATGCATATTATCCATAGCCCAAAGCAGTTTTAATTAAAGGAGAATTATGAGGAGTGCTTTTCACTCATCCTCATAATTTTATCCGACCTGCGACAATGATACTGTCACAGGTCGGCTCAGTAGATCGGGAAGTGAGCGAACACATACCGGCGTTCGCTCACTTCTCAATCCTGTCACGACAGTCGTGACAGGAGAGGGACTGGATTCCCCCCCTCCCCGCTCCGATCCTCCAGTGCTGACTGGCGCAACGGGAGGAGGCGGGTACAACTGGCTCTGCCTCTAGATAGGCAGAGCCAGCTGTCAGTCACGCAGCTGGGCGGATCACTTCATAATTGTCGGGATCCGCTTCAGCTGCGGCGTCTCAGTATACCACGACCAGCAGCTCGCGGTATACTGCGGCGTCTCAGTATACCGAGAGCTGCAACTCGCGGTATGCTGAGCTTTGGGTGACGGGAGGACGCTAGTTTGTGTCCTCCCGTTACCCTTCAGAGAACTATGGGGAAAAGCCCTAACCCCATAGTTCTCCTTTAAGTAGTTTACATAAACTTTGTCCCTTAGAAAATACAGTACATGCTTGGCACACCCACAGATTCAAATGAATATAATTAGTGTAGGATCTATAAAAAAATATGTTAAGGAATCCACAAAGGCACCATAGCTCTCTAGAGCAGCGGTCGCCAAGCTTTCGCACCTCATGGACCACTAAATTAACTTTAAATCCCGCAGACCACTAATATGAATATATTCTCATATGCATTTGTGTATGCGTGTGTGTATATGTATATACCCTGTTTCCCCGAAAATAAGACCTACCCCGAAAGTAAGACCTAGCACTATTTTTCAAGATTCCTGTAATATAAGACCTACCCCGAAAATACGACCTAGTTTGGTGGTAGCATGTGAGGGGGAACTTGCAGGAGAGATGGTATCAGCCTGCAGGGATATACTGTATTAAGGGGATGACAGTGGACTCCCTCCAGACAGCGCAGTGACAGGGAGCACTCCAGTACCATACTTCACCAAATGCTGTCCCCCTGAAGGCACTTTACCGCTCTGTCCACTGTCTGATGTCCCCACTGCTGTACCGCTGTTCCTGATGGCAAAGGAAGTGTCACTCTCTCGCTACAGAAGCTGATGAAGCCGATCTCTGTTTCATCAGCTTCTCTGGGGGTCCCTAGGTGACATTAGGGGTCTTGGAGACCCCTGATGTCTCCATAAGGAGGACCTGTCATGTAAATTGCCTATTAAAATTAAAAAAGAAAAAAAATGTTTTAAGTCCCCGCCCCCACATACACACGCAGATATGCGTCGTGTGCGCCTACGTGCGAAAACGACGATTGCGCCTATTGTGCCGCACATGTTAAATTTCGCCGCAAACGTTGGAGTGAGAGCAATAATTTTAGAGCCATTAATCACTGATGACACTAAACTGATGAGCAGTAAAAGCGTTTTAATCGTCGCCTATGGGCGTTTTTTGCGATTTTGCGGGCGCACGCAATTTTAAGGCTTGACATGTTTGGTGTCTATTTACCCACCGTGACCCCGAATGTTATGTTTTACTAAAAATATGGGTAAGAATAGATATTATAACATAACGTAGATAAACTTTGTTTTTGTTTTTTACATTTATGGTACTTTTTTCATTATATAGTTAAAAAAAAAATAACCGCTGCTCTAGAGGATATATTGAGAGATTCCTGAACCAATGCATGCAGCGTCTCTTCATCACTGTTCTGTTAGCTAGGATCTTGTTTCTTCATTTATGTATCCGGCACTTTTTACTAGTCTTAGGTATTCACATGCTGCATGCCATCTGTGTTATGAGAGAATTGCCCTCTGCAACTCCTTTCCCTCGAGTAACTCCCTTCCCCTTTAACCCTTTCGCTGCCAAGGACGTACGTCGTACGGAGCTACAAAAGTGCTTCCAGCTGGCCAGCTCAGTACGTCGTACGGACCTGACATTTACAGTTCTACTATAAGCTGATGGTCGCTTTAGCGACCATCAGCTTATAGTAGAACTGTTCAGCAGACTGTCCCCTTTAAATTAATAGCTGTCATCAGCGGCTCACAAGCCGCTGATGACCACTAATTTTAAAAATACCGGGCGCCCCCCCCCGCCGGTGCCGGCCGCCGGCATCTGGAGTCTCTCATCCCTCCCTGGAGCCATCCCAGGGAGGGATGAGGGACTCCATGGATCCCCACTGCTTGTAGGGTCTGTGGCAGCGGGGATCCATTAAAAAATCACCGTCGGGGGGGTCCCGGGAACGAGCGGCGGCTGGCCGCAATTCAGGATGGCTGAGCGTCTTCTGTTCTGAGCCGCTGTCATCCTGTCAGTTTTTGGATGACAGCGGCTCTGTGTAGCGTGGCCGAGCGGGGGATCGTTAAATATCAATGATATTTAACGATCCCTCTGTGCAGAGCAAACACCGGAGTGATCGTCTGATCACTCCGGTGTTTGTAAATAACTGGGGACACATAGTACTATGTGTCCCCAGTTATGAATGAACAGGCTGCGATCTACATCACAGCCTGTTCATTCAAGAATTTATGAATGGGGACTAGCACTCACTACAGAGGCTCCTCCCCATTCAGAAACTAATGATAGTAAAATATTTTTACTATCATTAGTTTGTGAATGAATGAGAAGCCTCTGTACTGAGGCTTCTCATTCATTGAGTGCTGGGGCTGCAGAAAAAGAAATTGAGGACTTATGTCCTCAATTTCTTTTTCTATTTCAAAAGGGAAATGTCAGGGGTCTGTTTAGACCCCAGAGATTTCACCGTAGCCCCCCCAACAGTAAAAAAAAATAAATACAAAATTATTTAAAAAAAAATAAAAAATGTTTAAACATTTTTTTTTTTAAATGTAAAACAAAATAAAATTATTTTTAAAAAAAAGTGTAAAAAAAAACAAACTAATAAAAAAAAGCACAACCCCTCCCTCCCCCCACATAACACACACATATTGTGGTGCACACCATGCACATGCGCTGCAGTGCGTTGTTAGAACGCATCGCAGTGCATGATCTTTTTTATTTATTTTTTTTCTTTAAAAAAAACATTAAATTAACTGTGGCAGCGCATGGCAAAGCTTTGTGACTCATTGCCATGCGTTGTGATACCTTGTGTTGCAATTAAATATACACCTGTATCATTTTATCACAACACAAACACCAAAACAATTTTTTACATAAGTCGATTATTTACAGTTTTGCATACCTTCATTTTTTTACCTTTTCGCAAAAAGGCGCAATTACAAATTTGCTAATATTTGTTATTTATTAACTCAATACAGTTTTATCTTTTAGATTTAGTCAGAAAATTATTTTTTTTGTGCACGGATACTGATTTTGGTGTGTTTTAACAATTGAATTGTGTATTTTTATCGGTTTAATATTAATTTGAGAAACATTTGCGCAATTATCGCAGGGCCTACAAATTTAGTATCACCATCTTTTTATTCTACCGGGCCTGCGCTTTCAGAAAATATATGGTTTGGGGGGTCTTTTACAAACGCTAGCAACGCAGCAGTTGAAAATCAAACCAATAGGAAAAAATTGCAGAAAATTCAAAAATGGCTTGGCCAGCTGATTTGAAAAATGTTCCGGAGGGCTTGGCAGCGAAAGGGTTAACCCACAGTTGCTTCCCTCTGGGTATTGGTTGTTGCATCACTGCTCAATCCTAACTCTAACTCACCTTTCTTTGTGTGTTTTCCCCATACGAACACTGACAGGCTATTCAGATATAGGTCTTCTCTTAATAAGCAGCTAGTTTTCTATAGATCAGACAGTAAAAGTCCAAGTTGCTATTTATATACATAAACAGATCATGTACAATGAGCCACTCATTCAATCTGCAGTCCTGACGACGTAAATATTTCGCCTGTCACATTAATTTTTAAGAATTTTGCTCTTATGAGATGACATACAATATGGGGAAAGGGAAATTCCAGTAGTTTGTGTTATGTGCAGAATGTCATTGCTTTTACAGTGCTGAAGGTGCCTTTCCTTTTGAATCACATGCAGTATTTATGTGCTGCTAAGGTATCTGCCAGACACACCCTCAGAGTTGTCATCTGTTGTCTATGCAGGTTTAAAAATGTGATCTTTGAAATATCTCCTACGGAAGAAGTTGGTGATTTCGAAGTAAAAGCCAAGTTCATGGGTGTTCAGATGGAAACATATATGCTGCATTATCAGGTAATTTTGAATTTGGTTAACCTATTATCCATACTGTTTGATCTGCTGACAAAGGAAAAATGTAATTTTCAAGTATAACAGACAGATGATCTTTCCTGTAAAGTTGTTTCACATTTACTTATGATCAAATAAACCAAGCTTCATTCATATTTTTTTAATTGAGAAATAGTAATGCTTCCATATGACTTTATAAAGATAAAATATGACCCACAGTAATGGGGAGAGGCCCTTTCAGGCGTTATATTAAATTCACACCTTAGTGGTTAGCTACTGCATGAATGGTATTATGCAAAGTGATAAGGAAGCTCATTAATGGGATACCAAAGCACCACAGCAGTCCTTTCTAACGCACATATGCCTTTTTTTTTCCAGTGCACCACAAGGCACAGCTGGTTCAGATTTGTACATTATATTTGATAAAATCCAGGCTTGTTGTGGTGCATTGGGATTCAAAATTGTAAATGTGTTCTACCACAATGCTATGAAAGATATGAATCTGGTCTAAAGGTGACACTAAACTCAGAAGTTCGATCTTAAAAATGTTTTCAAGCACTTTAACTACTAACAACAAATCTTAAAGAAAAATCTTAAAAATACCTAACTATGAACAAAAATGTATCTTATTTGTGTATCAAAATTACAGCTGAGTAATGCACAAATAAGATACATTGTTGTTAATAGTTAAGGTGCTGGAATGTATTTTTAAGATTTAACTCCTGAGTTTAGTGTCACTTTAATGTTCTTATCATCTTTGTAGCGTTCTGCATGTGTAACTTTCTCAAATAGTGTGAAGACAAGACGTGTATATTCATGTGTTCTTCAAATAGCTTTGCAGTTTGAATGCAGGGTTTTCTTAACTACTTTGTACCAAATGTCCACCTCTCTGATTTTTCCACTTGATGTCTCTTGAACTTTCAGGACCTTCTCCAGCTGCAGTATGAGGGTGTTGCGGTTATGAAGATGTTTGACCGAGCAAAGGTCAACGTAAACCTTCTCATCTTCCTTCTAAACAAGAAATTCTATGGAAAGTAAAGTCAGGAGATCCTCATGATCTGGGGGCTGGAGGAGCTGGTGGAAGAGGCACCATGTTGCCTTCCTGTCATTGAGACATGACATCTACAAAACGGCGCAAAATGCTTCTGTACACATTAAGGGCTGTATGCCTTCACTCTGCCAGGACTGTATTTTACTCTGTGATGCCACCTGTATAATACAGTGGTGACTACAGTGTTAATGAAAATTTCTCTTGGAGGTAACTTAGCATAGAATAGAAGTGGTCTAGCAGAGTCGCACTATAACTGCATATTTAGATACATATTATACAATGTATTGTTTAATGTAGTTTACAGTGATTGTTCTAGTATCTTCCAGGATCACTATTCATTGACTGTTTTTAAACATGGAACTGTATGATCTATATTGAATAGTGCGGGCACTTTTTTTTTTTTTTTGCTTTCCCGGCTTGAATTTTCTAGACACATATCTT